GCTGACCCCCCTCCCTCCCAGGCGAAGGAGAAGAGAGGCTGGACCCTGAACAGCGCGGGCTACCTCCTCGGGCCGCGTAAGCGGGGCTCCCCCCCCCCCCGCGCCCCCGCCGGGCCCCGCCCCCCGCGCGCCCACCCAGGCCCCGCCCCCGCCCCCCGCCCGGGCCCCGCCCCCCACCCTAGCCCCGCCCCCAGCGCGCCCCGCCCGCGCCCCGCCCCCAGCGCGCCCATCCATGTCCCGCCCCCAGCGCGCCCCGCCCTGGCCCCGCCTCCCGCCGCGCCCCGCCCCCAGCGCGCGCCCACCCATGTCCCGCCCCCAGCGCGCCCCCGCCCGGGCCCCGCCCCCAGCGCGCCCGCCCAGGCCCCGCCCCCAGCGCGCGCCCCCGCCCAGGCCCCGCCCCCAGCGCGCCCCCGCCCGGGCCCCGCTCCCAGCGCCCACCCAGGCCCCGCCCGCCCAGCGCCCCGCCCAGCGCCGCCTGGGCTGCCTTCGGGGCGAGGCCGCTCTGACTCTGGCGCCCCGGCCGGCTGTTGTCAGCTCTCGGGGCGGGGTCGTTCCAGGAGACTTGGGGGCCGGGTGGGTTTCCTTGCAGGTTGACGTTCCCTAGGGGGCACTGGTCCCCAGTCCCTGAGGGACACCCCTAGTAGGCCCCCCTTTACTGAATGTACCCGGATCCCCGCAGCAGAGGGCCGCATTCTGGGGTGCCCTGGCCCCGTGTCCTCCCTCCACCTCCCAACCACTTGCTCTTAAGCCGGGCCCTGTCGGGCGCCAACGACACCTGCAGCCTCTCCTGCCCTCCGTCCCTCACCCACAGGCCCCGGGGCTGCCCACCCTGGCGACTCCCGGTCGCGGGGACCCTGCATCCCCAGGGGTGGCCTTGCGGCCAGTGGCTCTGTGCTCCCAGCACCTACTCCTTCCCGGGCGCCTCTCCTCACTGGCTCTGCAACCCCCCCCATGCTGCCGGAGCCGCGCGCTCAGCCCCCTTGGTGATTCCCAGGGACCGAAGTAGCCAGAAGCGCAGCCCCAGAGCCCATGCCCCCCCACAGCCCCAGCGCCTGCTCCCCGAGGACATGCTCTCTGGAGGGGGGGCTTGGTAATCAATGAGTCAAAGCCCCAGGGGGTGGAGGCTGGAGGAGGAGGAGGAATCAGGTGTCAGGCTTTGGGGTGCTGGGGCTGTCAGTACAGAGTGGGCAAAGGCCTCAGGGCGCCCCTGAGCCTCTCCAGGGACTGGTGGTGGGGGCTTCCAGCTGACCCGCAGCAGAGACGAGGTGTCCACACCCCGACACGCCCCTTCAGAGGGGCTGCCGGCCGCCTCCCCTGCACCTCTGGGCAGGATGGGCCTCGGCGGACACTGGGGCCGGCTGCAGTCGTGGGCAGGCGTGACGGCGTCGTTCACACAGCCTGGCTCTAGATCTTTGGGGAGCTTAGAGCCCCCCTAGTTTGTCAGCTGTGGCTACGGGACTTGCTCCCCTCAGGGGAGCCCTAAGCAGGAGCGGGCAGTGGCCGGGGCCCTGCGGGCGGGTGGGGAGGCTGCCGCCCCCGTCTCTGCTTCCCGCCCAGCACAGTCCCCCACCCCCACCCTCAGCTCCTCCTGACCCCGCGTGAGGTGCGGTTGGCTCTGGCGCAGCCATGGACCCCGCTATGTCTACTGCCTCCGCCTCCCGGGGAAGGAGGTGACACTCGCTCTGGAGAAAGCGGGGAGAAGGGTCGGCGGCCATTAGAGGTGCCGTGACGCGGGGTTCCTGGCCCGAGCCCACACCCCACCTTCTGCCGTGGTGGGGGCCGGTGACCCGGCCGCGTGACGGCAGGCGCGTCTCGGGGTCTCGCGTCCGAGGCCCTGCTCCGTGTTGTGCCCTGAACGGAGGGTCTGTCGGGACAGACGGCCGCAGGCCTCAGGCTCTCCCGGGCCCCGACCCGGCCCTGCGCGTCGTGTTGCTTCAGAAAGCGAAAGTGTGTTCATCCCGCGGGTCTTCGGGCCCAGCCAGAGCGCAAGCGGCCCGCGGTGTCGGGGCGTCCGCTGACCGGCTCCTCCTGGGGTCCTCGCAGCCCGCGGCGAGAGGAGGCAACCTGGGGCCAGCGCTGCGGGGGCCGGGCCGGGCCGGGGCCGGGCTGCCGCTCAGCGCGAGGCCCTGTCTCTGGAGAGACGACTCAGCTTTCCCTGTGCCGCCTTGGGGGGCTGTGTCCCCCCGCAAGCAGCTCTCTTTCTAGTGTTTTCTTTTTTTCAGCCCCGCCCACAGCCCCTCCAGTGTTTCCTAAAGTCTCTCCGCTGCAGTCGCCAGGCTCCCAGGCTCATCACCCCCACACCCCCCACCGCCTCCCCAGGCGGGACCACCCCCCCTGCCTCCCCACGCGCCTCCTGTCCAGCAGGAGCTCCTGCCCCGGCCCCCCCGACCCTCCACACACCGCGGCCAGAGCGGTGGCCATGTCCAGGACCCGGGCTCCAGCGCGGTGCCCCCTGGGGCGGTAGCCCCGTCCCCCTGCGCCAGCCGCCGGAGCCCATAGCGCCCTGGGCCGCCCACTGTCCAGGCCCCGCGCGGGCTGCCGTCCCTCCTCCGGTCTCCAGCCCCCCTGGCCGCGGCCCTGCGCCACGCTGGGTGGGCGCGGGGAGGCCTCAGGCAGGCGCCTTCCCTCTGGTCCGCACACAGATGCCCTCGACAGCCACAGGTCCTTCCAGGACAAGCACGGCCTCGCCGGCAAGCGGGAGCTCCTGCCCGAGGACGCCGCGCGGCCAGGTGAGGGCCGGGTGAGGGCGGGGTGGGGCGGGCGGCCGGAGAGGGGGCGAGAGGGCTCCCTCGCATCACGGGCACACGGGAGTGGGGGGGCCGCCCCGCCACCGCCGCCCCGGCCCACCTGGCAGCCTCCAGAGAGGGAAGCAGCGAAAGCGGAGGGCCAGGCCGGGACAGCGGCGGGGCTGGGCCTCAGGAGAGGCGCCCTGAACTCTCCCGTGAGGCGAGGGCGCGGCTGCCACCGGCTCTGCCTTCCAGGGAGCTCCGGCCGGCCCCGGCCCGGGAGCAGCGCGGGGCGCGCCGTCATGGAGCTTCTCAGCCTCCTGCACCGCAAGGGTAGGTGGGCGCCTCCGCGGGAACCTGCCTCTCCGGGGCCCGGGCTCTGGAAGGCCTGTGGGGGTGGCCTCTGAGGCCGGGCAGCTGCCAGGGGCAGGGGCGGGCTCGGGCCACCGCGTGCTCACGGCGTCTGGGCTGGCACCACCCTCACAGTTCCCTGGAGCGGGGAGACTGCGGGGACCCCGGGCTTCCCACGGCCCCTGGCGTCTGGTCGGCGGCGGCAGCGGAGGGGCGCGCTGGGGGCCGGGAGCTCGGCCTCAGGTGACTCTCCCGCAGAGGCCGGCGCCCTGGGGGTCTTGCCCGAGGGCCGGGCAGCGGTGTCCTCGGAGGACGACGGGGAGCGGTTCTGAGACGGCGCCCGTGGCTGGCGGGGACGGCCGGGGAGCTGCCATGACGCCGCCAGGGCAGCCTGCGCGGGCCGGGTGGTCTCGGCTGTTCCCCTCCGGTGACTGTTCTACTTTGTGTGGCAAAATAAAAAGCAGCAGCTGCTTGCGATGGTCTCTTCCCCCATGCGCCGGGCCCGGCACCTCGGCCGCCAGGGCTGAGACGCTGATTGTGACGGGGGCGTCAGGCGAGCACTTTGAACCCCAGCTCTGCCTCGGGCCACCCGCCCGGGACGCCAGCCGCTCGTCAAGAGTCGGAGCCCACTGGGGCAAAGGAGGCGGGCAGGCACCTGCGGCCTGACCTTGCTGACATGGCGGGCGCGGGGGTGGGGGCGGCGAGCCTGACGGGGACACCTGAGCGCGGGTGCGTGGCGCGCAAGTGCGCACACCTGGGCCCGGAGGGCGGGCACGCGAGGCGCCGCCGCGAGACAGCGAGGGCTCCGATCCGGAGGGCGGCTGCGGGGAGGCCGGGTCCTGTCTCCCTGCGGCCTGCTCCCCTGCCCGCCGAAGCTGCGAGCGTGACGCCGAGGGCTCCAAACTCCCTGGTGCCTGGAGCCGGCCCGGGGCGGTAGCAAGGGCCCGCCGTTGTGCAGGTGAGTCTGTCACCGGGACGAAGGAGACCACCAAGCTGGCCGGACCTGCGCCGGGTGCGGGGGGCCGTGGGGCCGGAACTCAGCGCTGCCTACGCCATCCGTCGGGCCCAGCCTCTGGGCGAGAGGGGTGCGCGGAGCCGGCCGCGAGGGTGGGCTTTGGAGCAGAAAGCAAAAGATCCCACCAGGTGAGGCCCGGGGGGGCCAGGCAGAGGCCGAGGTCCTTGCCAAGCGAGAGCGGGCCGGGGAGGACGACCTCGGGGCGCATCTGGGCCGCCCTGGCTGCTGCGGTGCCATGGCGTGGGCTGGTTCTCCGAGCCTGGCTCCCTGCACCCTCCTCCCCGCCATTCCCCAGGCCCTGCCACCCCGGCAGCTTCCCTCGAGCCGCCGCAGTGGCCCGGCTGCCCACCCACCCGTCCTCTGGCCCCAGGCCACCCTCCGCCCTGCGTCCCTCGCACCCCCGCTTCCTGCCACCCTCACGCTCGAGTTTCTCCGGGCGGCATCAGGAATCACACCTGAGCAGGGCCCCGGGCGGCGGCTGCTGGTCAAGGCCACGCCCTGTCTGCTTGCCTGTCCCGGGCCCGTAGCCCACGCTGCCCGGCCAACTTCCGGCCTGGCTCCTGCCCACCGTGGCCACGGGCTGCCCGCCCCCGCCCCAGCAGGTGTGCCCTGAGTGGAGTGCCACCTCTGGGGGGCTCCCCTCCGTCACCCCGGCCCTCTCCAAACCGCCCCTTCCATTAGGGGTAACCGGTGTCCGGGAGGAGGTGCCGCAGCGGAGAGGGCAGGGAAGGAAGCGGCCCAGGAGACGGGGCCCTGTTTGGGGGTGAGCCCCTCGCCCGCGGCCCCAGACAGCGCGGGAGCTGGGGCAGTGAGAACGGAAAGCCCCAGCTAGGGGGCCGGGGCCAGCCCCGGGGGAGCCGCCCGCGATCTCCCCTCCCGGTGCAGACGCGGCCCTGGCTGAAGACGGCTGAAATTTTTATTCCTCTCGGCTTTCACGACAGAAACAAGAGTCGACTCAATGACTGTCCTATCTGCTGGTTCCTGAAAACCAGTGATTTTAACCATATTTTACGAACAGCAACAGCAACACAACCCAACGCAGCCACCGAGGGGACGCTCCCGGGGCGGCAGAGCTGTCCATGGCTCGGGCAGAAACCAGGAGGAAGCCAGGGCGCGGCCAGGCCCGGGCCTGAGGGGCTCCTGGCGGCTGCAGGGCCGCAGCGTCCCCGGTGGCCTGGGGGAGCCATGCCTGGACCCCAGGCGGTCTGCACTCGGGCACCCAGCCGCGTCGGAAGGGGCTCGGTTGCTTCGGGCAGCCCAGCTGGAGGCTGTTTCTGAGGGTCGGGGGGACCGTCGTGGCGCTAGCGCAGGAGGCTCCGGAGACGTCTCGTGGAGGGCTGACTCCAGGCACGGGGGGCGTCTCCCCGGCGCCGCCTCGCCCAGCGCGTTGGGCAGCTTGTCCGCAAAGAGGGGGCTGGGCGGCGGGACCCCTATGGGCTGGGGGGTGCCTGGGGCCGGGGCAGGGGAGCTCCAGCTGGGCCGTGGCGCCGGTGCAGACCCGGCCTCGGGTTCCTGCCGCAGCGTCCTGAACTCCAGAGTCCGGTGCGTTCGCTGTGGCCACACTGTGCGCTACTCGACCGTCAGCCCCTTGGACTTAAACTCGATCTGGAGAATCTGGGCCAAGCACCTCCCAAACTCCTCCAGGACCCGCTGCTGCGCCAGGCTCGGGGGGCAGCGCTCCTGCTCGGCCTCTTCGCCCTGGGCCAGCAGGCAGGCGCAGGCAGCCTCCACCACCTCCCGCGAGATGCAGGAGGGCGCCCGCCTGTCACAAACACAGTGGAGGCCGCGTCAGGGGCGCCCCGTGCCCGGCCGCCTCCGCGGTGGATTTTAAAGAACGTCTCCAGTTACAGCCTGGCCTTGTCCTCCCGGCGCTGGACACAACTGTCCGCTGCCGTGGCGGAGGAGGGGCTGTAAGGACAGTACGGGGTGACTCTGGGCCCCCCATGAGGAGCCCGCAGGGCCCCGGGCCTCGGGGTCAAGGCCGTGGGCTGGCTGGGGGAGAGCAGCCGAACCTGGGGTGAGACAGGCTCCTCGGGGTGTCAGCCCCGCAGGGCCGCTGGGGCAGGCTGGAGGCCTGGGTTCCCCGGAGCCTGGGGTGGGCCTGCCTCAGCTCAGGGGCCGCGAGATGGCTGCCAGCAGCGCTCGAGCGGAAAACTTTCGGGAAAATGTTATCAGATATTAAAGTTAGATTTTGAAATATCAATTTTAAATATCAAAACCGTGGAGAGCTGGGCTGTGAAAAGGGACATCCGCGGTGGGGTGAGTTACACGACTCTCGATGGCGACAACGCACAGCGCCGGGGGCCTTCGGCTCGCGGGGACCAGGTGGGGGCCCTGGGCTGCAGCCCACCCGGTCAGCCCAGGCAGGTGCCAGCGAGGGGCATGTCCGGCGCCAGCACGGCCTGGCTGGTGGCCGCCGGGGGTCGTCGCGCCAGGGCCATCGCATGGCCGGGGCATCGAGGGGACGGACCCGGCCCGGTGGGAACCAGGAGGCCCCAGCAGACGACCGAGGCCAAGTGTGCCTCAGCCCTGGAGCGGGAGGTGCTGTGTGGATGCCACCGTCCCAGAGGGGCGCGGAGGGTGGCGCCCCACAGGCCCAGTCTGGGGGCCCCCACCCCCGCCCGAGCTGGGCCTGCGGCTCAGGACAACACGGGGACCTCGGACGGCGAGGGCGGACACCCCTTCTCCCGGGTGGACGCGGGGCGACCTCTTCGCAGCACCCACCTGTCCCTTCTGGGTTTCGGCAGCACCGGGCACCTCGGTGACAGGCAGTGGCCGCCTTCGGAGCTCCCGCTGCCCGGCGCGCTCATCAGCGTTTTCCGCTCCGGGCTTTCTTCGTAGTTCTTGCACCCGACGCATTTGCAGGTGGAGGAGCACATGATCTTGGCCTGGCAACACACGGCGCTCGGTCACTCGGGTTGGCCCATGAGTCAGCCCGAACAAGCGCGCTCTCGGCCACAGCGCCGTCCCTCCGCGCGGGCGTGTGGAGGTCAGTCTCCTCACCCGGAGAACAAGGCAGCGTGGAGGAGTGCGACGGGGGCGTGGGGTGAGCGGGGACACGGGGCACCCGATGGGGCTCCTGGGGGCGTGGTGCCAGCCCGCGGGGGGGCTGCTGCTCGCCGGGCTCCTGTTCCGAGGGAGCCCTGAGCCCGGGACCGAGCAGGCAGGGAGACCTGGGCGCCCAGCGGGGGCAGGCTGGCGCCTGGGGAGGCCCTTCTGCCTCCTGTGGGTGATCTTGGCCGGCCGACACTCAGGGACCACTCACGCTGGCCCTCGGGCCCTCCCTCCGCCTCTTCCCTCCAGGCCCCCGTGAGTGTTGGGGGCTGCTGGCCCCCCGGGAAGGCGGGGCCTGTGGCCTGTCACCAGCGGCAGCGGCGGCGTGAGGAGACCCGCGGGCGGCCTCTCGCTTTTACATCCTGTCGCTGCCACATCTGACGTGGGGCTGTCCGGCCCGGCTGGGGACGGCGGGGCTGCCTCCTCAGCCCTCAACCCACGTCTCCAGAGCCAGGAGGACTTTTCTGAAGCCTTGTTGACATTTTCAATGACAGCCTTTTAAAAATAAAATGCAAGGAAACCCCAAAGCTCACGCAAAGGAGGGGAGGCTTCAAGGAGGGTTTCGCTGACAGGGAGGGCCGAGGCCCCTGCTCCGTGCCCTCAGCAGAGACAGGCGCCTCAGGGGGCCTGGGAGCTGCCTGCTCACAGCACCCAGGGGACACCTGGGGACCGACTGTGCCACCGTCCCGCTGAGAGCGTCTGCATGGCTGGGCAGGGGCTGGGCAGGGGACACACATGGGCCCTCCAGGCGTCACTGGTGGCCACTGCCCAGCCCAGCCACACCCAGCCCAAGGCAGCAGCTGCTGTAGACGCCCAGGCTGGGGTGCAGGGGCGCCCAAGGGAGCCGGCGCACTTGGCTGGTGAGCGTGACTGAGGGCAAGAAATCAGCGCGGCGGCTGTGCCGGCCCTTTGTGGGCCTGGACGGGAGACACGAGCTCTAGTTCTGAGTCCTAGCGAGCCGGCTTTAGACCACAAACCCTACTCAGGCCAAGGTATCTAGCCGTTGTGCTACCTTTTTTTTTGTCTTAACGGCGCCGGGAAGTGGGTCACCCACCTCGTAGCACTCGCAGTAGTTCTTCAGGCAGCCTGACCTCTTGCAGTTGCAGCCTCTGTTGTGCCGCGGCTTGACGTCGCCCCGTCGGCCCAGGCCGATTTTTGGCTGGAAAGCCTCTGGGTTTCTGTCAAGACACGCCTAAGACAAACACAAGGCCGTCAGCGCCCGCCGCGCGGCTGAAGTGCGGCTCAGTGAGGGCCCTCGTTGGCCTGTCAGGGAGTTGCTGTAAAAGGGGCCACGGTTAGCAGCGTCTCCTGAGGTCAGGGCTGGGGGGTGACGGGCGGCAAGGATGCAGAGAACGTCCTGGCCCCTCCGTCCTCAGAGCCGCCGCCCTTGCTGTCTGGCAGATGGAGAGACCGACGCACGGAGAGGGTAAGGAGCAGAGGGCAGGGAAGGCCCTTCCTGGTGCAGCACGTGCCGCCCGCCCTCGCGGCTCTGCCGACCGTAACTCTGAGGCCCACCCTGTCCCCAGCAACACAGTCAAGGGGCTCCGGGCTCCAGGGGCCCTCCCTTCTTGCTGCCCCCGGGGGTTCACAGCGGGGATGTGCCGCCCCGTACCGGAAACCCACAGCCGTGCCCAGCCTTTGGCAGCCCTGGGCACTGGGCACAGGGGCTGGGAATGCGCGTGGCTGCCGGGAACCCCAACCCGCCAAGCTGGAGGACGGGCAGCACCCAGCGGGGTCTCGCGACCCCTCCTGGCCGATGCGCCCCCGTGGCGCTGCTCTGGCTCGATGGCCGTGGTGTTGCCTCTTCTGGAGCTTCGCAGCAGCCGTCACAGGGTGTGGACAGTTCCTGTCGGCTCCTTCACCTGTGAGGGGCGCCGTGCTGTCGCCGGAGCCGCCCGGCTTCCTCCTCAACAGGCCGTCCCTTCTCCCAGGACACGGCTTGTGTGCAGTTTGGGGCGAGGGGGTGGTGCCACTGGCCCTTCACCTGGCTCCCCCGCGGCTGCGCCTTCAGGCCGCTCCACCCCACGCGATTTGCCCCCGGTCTCTGGACCCCAAAGCAAGACAAGGCAGACACTTGCACATTCTTAGATCGGAGCCTCCGCCACCCCCAGAAGCCCACCCACACCCACAGGATGTGACGCTCCTTGTGGGCCCCCTACCCCTGCCCCCAGGAACCGTCACGACCAACGCAGTCTGCAGGACCTTCGCTTTTCCCGACATGGGTATAAGAAATCGCTGAGACAGCTAAGAACAGGCCAAGTACTTTAAAAGCTTTAGAAATACCTGTTCTCACGAAAGCGGATTACCTTAATGGCCTTAAACCGTTCAATTTCGTGGCGTAAATTGTTGCAACAGTTGTTACAGTTGCAGTTGTTGCAGAAGTCCCCGCTGGCGAAGCAGTCGCAGTACCTGCGGAGACAAGCGCACAGCGGTCAGGCGGGCCTCCTCCGAGCGGGCGCCGAGGGACCGCGAGGGCGTCCTCCAGCCCGGCACGTGGTGGGAGGGCACCTCCGCGACCCTGAGCGCCCCGCCCGTCCTCCCGGGGCTGGAAGGTGTGGGCAGGAGGCCAAGGAGCAAAGGACACTCCCTCCGCCACACTAAAGCCTGAGGCTCGGCTGAAGGGGAGCCTGCTCTCGGGCCTGGCCTGGCGGGGGAGCCTGGCCTGGGTTCTGGCTTTGTCCCACCTCAGGGTGTGAACGAGGTGTGACCCCTCGGAGCTCAAGCTGCTGCAACACCAAGTTGTCCATGAATTTGGGATCCACAGAACAGCATCGTTAGTGGGTCCTCCGACTGCCCGCATGCCTGGGTCTAGAAGGCCCAGGCACAGCCCAGCGGCTGGACGGCAGTGTGAGGGCCATGGTGGGTTTTCTGGCAGTGCTCATGGCTGCCGTGAAGCTGGGCTGTTCAAGGCTGGGGGGCCACAGGTCCCCCATGCAGGGAGCCATAACAACTGACGTCCAGCCCAGGGTGCAGGTGCGGGCACCGAGTACACCTAGTACCTGGAGCCCAGACAGGCCTGGGCAGCTCGCCAGGCCTCCGGCCCCGTTTGTGACGGTTCCCTCCAGGAGCACAGCCACTGGAAAGGCCTTGGCCCCGGGTTCTAGCACCAACTCCCAAGTTCTGGGACGGGGGTTACCGATCAGCAGCCCCAGCTCTAAAGTGGAAGGTGGGCGCTGAGCGGCCGGTCTCCAGGAGTGGCGGAGGGAAGACAGACCAGGCCCCTGGGGCACTGCGTGGTGGTGGTGGGGGGCGCGGAGCCCAGCGACCGGGTAGACCAGTGGTCTGCAGCTACATTCCCGCTAGACGGTTCCAGAACAACTAGTTTAACAATTTTCACCACATTTTAAAATGCACGTCAGGCCAAGAGGAGGGCACAGGGGATGGTCAGAGGCAAAGGGACAGCAGCCACTGCCCCACCCGCCCCAGACGGGGCTCCAGGGTGCCAGAGGGCTCAGGTCAGCAGCTCAGGTCAGCAGCCCACACAGCGCGGCCCTGACAGCGACTGCGCGCATCCATCCCAGGGAGGTGGCCTGCTCCATGGCCTGCTCCTGGAGGGCACAGGCGTCACTGGGGTGGGGGGACAGCAGAGACAACGAAAGTTTCAGGCGGGAAAGCTGGAAAGGAGTGAGTTCAGGGGCAGCAGGCGCTGGGCCTCATGCCAACCGGAGGGGCTGGGGCTAGAGTCTGTGCAAGGAAAAGTAAGGACGAACTGCTCGCGACGGGGAGGCCAGGAGTGCGGGACAGGGGCGGGGGCAGCTGGGCAGCAAGCAGCGGCCCCCACTTCAGGCCCGGCACTGGCCTGTGGGGACCCATGGGCCGGGGCTTCCATGGGGTAGGGCGAGGAAGCACAGAGAGCGCCACACCTCCAAACAAACATAAGATCACCCCAAGACGGAAAAGGCAAGATGTGGCAACATAGGCATGTCATTTGGTTTTCTAGAGGCGAATGTGAAAAGAGCTGAAAGCTCCCGGAGCTGAGGACACGAGCAGACCGTCAGGAACTGCTATTTTTTCCACAAGCCTTGTGGTGTGTGAGCTGGATAAAGGTAACTAAAGAAAGAGTAAACTGAAAGGTGTAGACATTTAACCCAGATGCCGTCTAAAAAGACAGACCAGGACCATGGGAGGAGGCTGAGGTCACGCGTCTGCTCAGTGTCATTGGAGGGACAGGCGGGAGCACGGACGGGGGACACGGAGAGGCGGGAGCATGAGGACGTCTGTGGGCTTCAGACTGCTGGGAGGCCCGGTGGACGCCAGGAGAGATGAGTAAATAGAAAAAGCGAAGATTCTAAGAAAACCTTAACAGCACCAGAGAGAAAAGACAGATTGTCTAGACTTACTAGAAATCAGGACAGACAGCTGGATAATAACCTCAGCATGGAGAGAAAAACCAACAAGGTCTAGAGTTTTACACCTGCTCAAACTGCGTCTGCTGGTCAAGAGCCACACACGTCTCCTGGTGGTCTGATTAGTTGGCGCCTGCCCCTGCCATACTAAACTGAGGACGGCTTTTACATCTGTCGCCAAGCCTGCTCTCCCTCCCATACCACAGACCCTATGATCCTCATTTCTTACAGCAGGAAGTTGTGAGAAGTAAGAGACATTATGGAGCATAAGTCTTTACTACTAACCAGAAACCCATGCTATAGCAACCTTAATATCAGACAAAAAAATTTAAGGCAAAAAACAACTGGATACAGAGATACATTTAACAGTTGATGAACAATTCACCCCGGAGACATAGCAATTATGAATTTGTATGTTCTTCGCACTATAGACTCAAAATAGATAAACCAAGTGGAATTATAAGGAAAAACAATTTCACATTCATAGTGGGAGGTTTTAACATACTTTTATCAAAAAAAAGAGAAATCACTCAAAATTCAATAAGGATGTAGCGGATTTGAACGACAAAATTAACAAATTTGAGCTAATAGGTAGCAAATGCATCCAACAAATGGAAAATAAACATTATTTTAGCTAGTATAGACTAAACATTAAGCCTTCATCTCAAAAAGGTCAGTTTCATATAGACCACATATCTGACCACAGTGCAATTAAATTTAAAAATTAACAATAAAAATGTAATTCAATACACATACACAGATACACATATATGCATACAAATACACGCTGGACACTTTAAGAGGCACAGCTACGTCACTCGAGGCGAGAGGGCCCTACTATGAAGTCACAGAATGCGTGAAGAGCCAGCACGTCCTCCGAGGCCGGGGTAGGAGGCGACGAGTGCAGAAAGTGAAATCAGTAGCCTCATCAAAGTGGGTTCCACCCTGGCATTCAAGGGGTTAACGCTAGAACAAAAAACCGTGTTATCAGATTAAGCGAGGGCCCTTCGACAAACTCGGGGGAAAAAGCACTTGTGAAATTTATCATTCATTTTTACTAATGAGAAAGCAAACCTTTTAGGAAACCAGGAAACGTCCTTCCCTGGATTCGGGGTGTCCTGCAGGACCCACGCACTCCTTAATGCTACAGTGACAGCGATTTCAGGTGAGCCTGTGGCGGCTTCGGCTTCTGTCCTGAGAGACAGGGGGCTGCTGCGCCCTCCCCTCTCCTCCCGGTGACAGGCTGCAGCTGAGAGGGCAGCGGCTGGCCAGCCTGCTCAGCCCAAGAAGGGACGCACTCAGGGAGGCCGGCCAGGCAAGGATGCAGGGGACGAGGAGTGCGACGCTTCCGCGGGCCCCGAGCGGCTCAGGGCGGTCTCTGTCACAGCAGCTGAGAGGGGTCCTGCCAGGACAGGGTGTCTCTAGGGAACCCCAGCAGGTACCTTGGGGCGGGGCACAGGTGGGCAGTGTTTCTATTCAAATCAGAGCAAGTCAGCATGCCCAGCGCCAGGCTCAGAAGCTGCCCTGGGAGCGCGGGGGGGCGGGGGCAGGAAGAGGGGGCAGGACAGGGTCTTTATGTAAGACAAGACGATTGTTTGAATAGGAAGTAAAAGCAGAGGAACACGATGACCAAGAAGGGGGACTAGGCTGAAGTCCGGCAGCGGGAGTGCTAGACCCCGAGCTTCCCGTGGGGACAGTGACTAGGCCACCCACGAGACTCCGTCCCTGCCGTGAGGCCTCAGGGGCGAAAGCAAAGCCTTAAAACTGTCAGAGAAATTCCACGGGCACATCTGGCTCAGCTGGGGACCGGGCAGATTCTTAAACAAGGCACCAAAGGCATGGACAATAAAGAGCAGTGAGCGTTTTAACTGCATTCAACTGAAAACATCTGTCTTTTAAAGCAAAGGATTTAATATTAGAACCATAAGCTATAAAAATTAATAATTTAATATATAAAAGAAAAGCAAAAGTATGATAAAGAACAAGAGCTTATAAGTAAATGACCGCCCAGATTTGACCTTCTGTTCTACAGAATTCTGGGCCATTTAATAGTTAATTAATGTGGTAATTCAGAGACAAAAGTCCATTTGAAAAAGCAATGTTGGAGACTGCCCAATCGATGAAGAAAATGTGGATTTAGATTTGATTAGGATAAAAAATGTGGATAATATGATTATTCCTAACAAATCCTACCTAATATCTCAGCAAAAATTGAACTGGAATGCAGGACGTGTAAAGACCCGAGTCGGGATGTGTTCCAAGTCAGTGTGTGGCCGGGTAATTAAATGTCCTGGACCATATCCCATGAGAAACGAGTCTCCTTCGGCCTCCTGGCAGGGAGGGGCTGCTCCCCCCCACACCCTGCCCAGGCTCAGCCCTTAGCTCTGCTTCTGCTTCAGTCAAAGGAGCCCTGTTCTAAGTGGGTTCACGACAACTGGATGAACACGTCGTGGCCAATCAAGGTTCAAACGTCCAAGACCCAGGAGGACACGGGCAGCACTGATGGGCAGGTAGAGCGAACTGCTCTTAGAATCCTCCCATTATTTTTAACAAGCAGTAAGTTTTCGGGTCTGGAAGCCACTGCGCCCCAGCACACCCGCCCCCGGGGGAACGTCTGTCCCTCGGGGTCGTGGCCATCTGTCTGGAAAGCACCTCTCAAAGCTGTTTCTCTGGCCTCCCCCCGGCAGCGGGCAGTCAGGTGAGCCCTTCCTGGAGCTGCGCTTGCTTCCCCATGCTGAGGGCTGCCCGCCTCTGTCCCCAGAGACAGTCTGCACCCTGCTGGGGTGATCCCACATTCCGGCCCCCAAGGCTGCCAGCGCCTAGCAGCCCCGGCCCTGCCCTCATCACCACCACCGCGTCTTCCATGCACCCAAGTCTCCACCCGGTGAGGCGCGTCCTTGCTGTCCGTCCTTCTCACCCAGAGCCGCACTCAGGGGCTCCCGACCAGAGGCCTGGGGAGGCGCTGGAGTTCAGACGGGCGTGCGACTTGCGTCCACAGACTAAACTGGGGACGGCTCGGACATTGCCACGCGCCGTCCCTGCGGCTCAGCATTACTTAAAAAAAGATCAATCTGTCCTTTCAGCTTTGTCCTGTAAGCCAGGCTCTGGCCTCCCGGGCCCTGACCCGTGTCTGCACCCCCACGTCACCGTCCCATCAGCGAGCAACGAACGCAGCGTCACGGCAGACCTCGGGGAGGGCGCCCTCCCCGCTAAGCGAGGGCACTCGGGGCAGGGAGCGAGCACTAGGCCCACCCAGTGGGCAGATACCCCAGGCGTCTGGGGGGGGGGCGCTCACCTTGCCTGTGCTGCCGGTCCAGGGCCCAAGGGCCGCCTGTGTCCCCCACAGTACCCAGCCCGGGCCCGCCTCACCTCTGCCCTGCCGCCCTTGTGGCCGGGCCTCCAGGGGAGTGGCAGCCCTGTGGGAGAACTTTCCTGAGAGAAATTCAATGTAGAGGCAAATCAGTTCATGAGTACAGAAAGCTAGGATGTGGCCGTGTCGCAGCTGACGCTCAGCCCAGGCACCCGTGGCAGCCGCCGAGGGGTTCGGGGGTACACCACGGCCCGAGACACGCGCCCCGAGGCGAGTTCAGGCGGCCCTGGCTGAGCCACCCGCTCACGCGACCCCGGAGGCGGGACAGCGGGGGCCTGCGGGGTGGCCCGGGGGCCTGTGGGGACGGCGGGGGCCTGGGGGCCCGCGGGGCGGCCCGGCGGCCTGGCTGAGGGCCTGGACGGGGGCAGGCTGCCGGCCGAGCCGCGGGCTGGCCTCTAACCACCTTATTTCTATGTCTATGGAATAATGAAGGATTTGTGATTACTTACAATTTCAGACACTGGGACTTGGTACAGTTACATGGCTTTTTAGACCTTGAGTCCCATGAACTAAGAGTTACTCTACAAAGATTAAAAAAGAAAATGTTTTCAGACGGTTACTCTTCGGGGAGAGTCCGCTAAGCAGCTGGCGTCTCAACGCCAGCGGGCCTAGGCGCCGCGCGGGGGCTGCCTCGGGGGGCGGTGCAGCGGGCGCTCCTCGGCCCCAAGCCTGTGTTCCTGCCCTCGCGCGAGGCTTGGGCCTCGTGTGTGGTCTGACCAGACGGCGCTTTTACTTCCTCGAGTTTTCCAAAACCTGAACCGGGGTGGGAAGCCCGAGTGGCGGCCTGGAGCCGTCCTGTGGCGGGGGGACCCCTCCTGACTGCTGGGGGATTAGCCAGAGCCGTCCTTGGGGCGCCAGAGGAGAGAGAGCAGCGTGGGCTGCGCTGCTGAATGCAGGGCGGCCTTCGGTCAGAAAATGAAGACCTCGGGCCCGGCCTGGAAATGTCGCTCGCGGGGAACAGGGGCCGCAGCGGCCCAAGGTGGTGAGTGGGTGCTGAAGAGGAGGGGCTCAGGCCGCCAGCTGGGCAGGGGGCCAGGGCTGCGCGGCTGCCTCATTCTGCAGGGAGGTCCGGGCCTCGGGTGCCCCCAGGAACCACAGAGCAGGTGGGCAGCCGGCCGTGGGCTGCGGCCTCCAGGGCTGGGGTGTGGGGGCCATCAGCCCTGTGGTCTCACCGCCTGCCGGCCCCTGCAGAGGGTGTGCCCGGCAGGCGGCTCTGCCCATGCTGGGCTCCCCCCTCCTGCTCCGTGCCGGCCCCCACTCCCCCATCCCTGCCTGGCTACACCCCCCTACTGGCCACGGCAGCCACCCCCAGAGCCCGGACCAGCTGCTCATCCTTACTCCGTTCAGAGAATGTGCCCGGGTGAGGCAGCAGAGCTGCATGAGTGTCCACCTAGGGGCAGCTGCTGCCCGTCCTCGGGCGCCCGGGCCTTCCACGCCCCGGCCACCGCCCCCCCCTCCCCCGGCCTGGGTCAAGGCTGGGCTGTTGGAGGAGGGGACGCCGGCGTCGCGTCACTGCTCCTGCCCCGGCCCCTCTCACGCCTGCCTCTGAGACGGGGCCGGGGTCTGGCGCTCCTGTCCAGGGGAACAAAACCCTTCTCTTTAAAGGGGACGGGGCACTCGGAGACTCCCCAGCGGTGCCCGCGCAGCAGCAGGGCACAGCGGTGCGACGGCGGGCGTTAGAGCCAGGCAGGGCCGGCAGACGCTCACTCAGGCTCAGCGGTCACGGGACACCCGGAGTGTGTTTGCTACATTCACCGCGCCCGCCGGGGGCAACGCGCCAAAGCCTGGACACGAGAAGCCGGAGAACACGCGACATGGAGAAGCAACGCTTGGCACGGTTATCAGCGGGGAAGTCCGGAGACCGGCTCCCCACCCCCGCGCGGATGGAGGCAACGACAGCGCGAACTTCTGGAGAGGGTGGAAGCTGCCGTGATCCCTTCGGGAGGCTTTTGAGTCACTGGGCAAAGGAGGCAGAAATGCAGCCTGAGGGCCTCCCCTGGTGGCGCAGCGGTTGAGCGCTGGGCTGTGAAGCTGCCCGCAGCCTCTGCAGCACCGGTTCAATCCCCAGCCACCGGCGAGGGTCCCACATGGCGCGCAGACCTCTCCTGCCGCCCGCTGCTCCCCTCAGCAGTGTGTTTCAGTAAATCTGCCTGCTCTGCTCTCCCCTCTGGCTCTGGTGAATCCTCTCACCCTTCTGCGCTTCTGACTGTACCCAGTGCTTGTATGAACAAACAAACAAACAAATAAATCTTTAAGAAAAAAAAAAAAAAAGAAATGCAGCCTGAGTGCGGCTGCCCGACAGGACCGCGGGGGCCGGTGGGGCCACCCGGGAGCTGGGCCCTGGCCGGGGTTCGATGCCACGTCCCTGTGCCGCCTGGATGCCCGGGGTAAGCAGCGACCCTGGCGACTGTCCTCACCCAGCGTCTACGGAAGGCACCTCCATGCGCTGTGGCTTCACCTTTCAGCAAATGCTCCCAGAGAAGGGACGCCCAGGCGGCCTCGTCAGGAGGCCTGTTAGGCCGCCAGGAATGATAGCAGGGCTCTAATGCACGGTGGGTGGAGCCTGGGTTATATTCAGCCTTTAATCTCGAGGGTGTGGCTGCTGTGGGCACGCAAGCCGGTTCCTAATTGGCTGGTCCACCTCCTGGAGGGCAGGGAGGGGCTTGTGGGATCAGATCGGCAGGTGGAGCGCTTGGGCCTTGCTGTGGGGACCGGCTCCCTGCAGATGCGCCCAGACCTGCTGGCCCTTGCTGTCCTCTGGGGTGGTGAGGAAGGCCAGGGACGCCTGCGGGGTCAGAGCCGTGCCAGGCTGGCTGTGATGGGGACGGCTCCAGCAGCAGCTGTCTGCTCCTTCCTACCACAAATCATAACCTGGTGGAGATGTTTGAGGTGAACGTTGGGATAAAAACCATCAAGGCTGATTCAGAGGGTGGCAGTGAGTCAAGTTATTATTTGCAGCAAAGCCCTTGTTTTTCCTGACACGTCGTGTATAACAAAACTCGTCCACCAGAGGCACGACTCCTTCAATAAAGAAAACTGTGGCTGCGAAGACCCAGCTGGGCGGGGAGGCAAGGGTGGGAGGAGGGGCGGCGAGGGTGGGGGCTCTTCAGGGGCACCTCCTGCACCGCCCTCGGGGCCGCCCAGCTATGCCACCAGGAAACGCAAAAGGCACCAGGACACATTTGAAATAAAGTCCTACGAGCTCCAATCCCCCGGAATGTTCTAGACGCAGGAAAGCACTTAGTGCTGTGAGGCCCCTGGCCCGAGGCACCCTAGGGTCAGAAAGATGCAGAGGTTGCCCTGCAGAGCCAGGGCCCGAAGGCTGGGTGGGAGGGGCTCACCCTGCTCAGTTCTCCCAGAGGTCAAGGCCACGGCTAGCGGGACCCAAGTGGTGACCGCCTCGCCCCACCGGCCCTGCGGCCCGAGAGCAGGAACAGGAGGCCGCATCCCCAAGAACAGCTCATGCGTCCTCCGCCGCACCCCAACCTCCCGCTCAGCAACGCCGCAGACACGCCGCGGCCTGGGCAGCACAGCGCAGCAGGTCCCGCGGAGCGGCTGCCAGACCCTCGGGCCAGGACGCAGCCATCCCGGAAAGGGCTGCCGCCCGGCCAGCGTGGAGCGTCCCCTCGGCAAAGCGCTTCGGCCACCTCGTTGGCTGTGCTTAAGTTACGGTTATAAATGGGGCTGTAACGTGGCAGACGTGGTCCTGGGTGGGTGGTGCCCACATGCCCCTGGCGACCGGCCGGCACCACCACTGACAGCCCACCGGGCAGGCCGGGCAGCCAAGCCACGCCGGACCACGGCCAGCTGCCCGCACCTGCTCACATGGCCGGCGGCAGTGGGCACAGCAGCTGAGCCCACACAAAGAGAAACTCAGACGGCGGTCCCTGGCGACAGCTCCACCCCGGCCCAGCGGAGGCCCCGCGACCGGCAGGCTCGGCGGCACCTGGCGGCGAGGCTCACCGCGGGCGGCTTTGCGGACACCGTGAAGTTTGCACACAACACCGAGTCCCGGACGCACCCAAGAGCCTCGTCAACTCGCACATTAAATAAACGCCAGCGGAGTGCGTGGTCCTTACCCAGCCAGAGCTAGTTTGGGTGGTCCTGGCAGAGCTGACCCCGCGGGGAAGGGGGCCCCGTTGGCGGCCGGCGGCAGAGGTCCGTTGTCGAGCTGCACAAAGTCAAAGGCGTGCTTTGAATTAGCGTGGGTTTCCGAGCTCCCACCCGCCAACCCTGGGTACAGGTCACAGGGGCTGCCTTTCCCCTAGAGGGTCACATCAGGGGGCCCTCCCCGCACCCTCAGGTGTCCCCGCGGAGGGCCCCCTCACAGCCCACAGCCGGGCAGAGGTGTTGCAGGAGTGCCGGGGAGCCGCCCAGCCTCCCCCCAGACCCGTGGCAGGCGGCCTGGCCGTGGACAAGGGGCACTGGGTTACGGGCCAGGGCAGCCCGTGGACACGCTGGCCGGCAGAACACACGTGTGGTCAGCAGGCTGGGCCGGGGCCGCCACCTCATCGTCGTGAACTATAAACTCTGAGCTACGTTCAGGTCAGCGTTTCTGTGAGCCACACGTTTCTGGATTTATCTTCTTAGCATAGCATAGCTCTTCAAAAGATGTTTTGTGTGGGCCTCCCCGGTGGCGCAAGGGGTTAAGCACCGCACTATGAAGCAATCCAAAGCCTCTGCAGCACGAGTTCAATCCCCAGCTGGCCAGGGAGCAACCACATGGCGCAGCAGACCTCTCCTGTCTCCCCGCTGCTCCCCTCAGCAGTGGATTTCAGTAGATCTGCCTGTTCTGTTCCCCACTGTCTCTGGTGATCCTCTCGCCCCCCACACCTCTGCCCTGTACCCCAGTTCTTGTATGCATAAATAAATAAATCTTTAAAAAAAAAAAAGAGATACATTAAAAAAAATGTTTTGTGGTCAATTTTAACCAATCCAAAGCTGCAGCGTGATCTTCATTTTCCCACCTTCCCCCAGCTCTCACTTCTCAGTCTTTGGCTGCTCGTGCTTGTGGGCCAGAGAGGACACCCCCAGGGGAGCAGAGAAGTGAGGTGTCACCTCATTTCTTATCAGAATTTCAAGCTGTTAAGTGTTAGATCTAATTAGGTTTTGAGATTATTTGTATAAATCACAAATAAACAACCTATCCCGTTCCCTCCTCTCCCCAAAACTTGAAATTTAAAAACAAGCTTTGGGCCTCCCCGGTGGCGCAGTGGTTGAGCGCTGGGTTGCAAAGCTGCCCGCGGCCTCTGCAGCGCCGGTTTGATCCCCGGCCGCCGGCGAGGGTCCCACATGGCGCGCAGACCTCTCCTGCCGCCCGCTGCTCCCCTCAGCAGTGTCCTTCGGTCCTTCTGCCTGCTCTGCTCCCCGCTCTGGCTCTGGTGAATTTTCTCACCCTCCCGCTCTTCTGACTGTACCCAGTGCTTATATAAATAAATAAATAAATAAATAAATCTTTAAAAAAAGATATAGGGAAAAGGAAAAAGAAGAAAAACGTGCTGATTATCTAGTAGGCGTCACCTTCTCGTGCAGCCACCCTGCCAGAAACACCATTTTAAGAAGTCTTGGGGAAAAGATCATGTTTCAATGAGACTGGATTTGTGCAGATAATGGTGAGGCCGCGAAGCACTGAACTCTCACAAGGCATTGTGAGCACATTGAGACGTAAGGGGTGCTCTAGGCCTAGCGTGTGCGGGGCCAGGGGGGACGGGCCAGCAGGGACAGGCCGGTGGGGTCGGGGCTGAGGAGGGCCACCAGGGAGGCCCAGCAGCTTCACGGAGAGGGTCCTGGCCTTGCTCCAGCACCCCCGGCCTGGCCCAGTGCTGAAGGGGTCTTCCCGGCGAATGTCTCACTGTTGAGTTTTCAATGGGACATAAATCATAGTCCCTAAACTGTTGCCACGGACAACCAAAACGCCAAGGGACAATAACGCCCAGCTGTGTTTTATAATCAAGACAACGACTCACTTGTTGGGTGATGAGATTTAATCTTGCTGGGGCTGGCAGAAGTCTTCCTACTAAGGTAGTCGCTGGTTTGGGGACATCTGCAAGGAAGACAGTCACCATCAGCTCCCAGCGGGCACTGTTCCACTTGACACGGAACAAGAGCAAAAACCATGCAGCGCGGGCCTCCCACGTGCAGTCTCCAAGCTTATCCTGACTCTATTTTTATTTTCTCTCTCTAGTTTTATTATTTACACCCTTTTATTCTGTAATAAAACTACTGAACTTCAAGAATAATTTTCTCTGCTAAATTGTTGCTGGTGCCCAGATTCCCACACTGTGCTGGGTGCCCCGGCAGTTCGCCCGGGAGTGGGGGGCGGAGCCCCGAGTGTTCAGAGGGGGCACAGCGACGCCTGTCGGATGCTGTGTGAACTGCTTTCAGCTTGGACGTGTTCTTTCCAAGGGTCCCCAACTTGCTGGTTTGTGGATACTTATAAGGCTATTTGGACCAAACTGCTTAAGACTGGAACTTGTAGGTGTCTCCTTGGCCTAACAGCCCCGGGTGGAAACCGATTCCCGGGCCGCGAGGGTCCTGTGTGGCCAGGTCCCGGGGTGGGGACAGGCCTCATGCTGAGCAGTGTCTGCTCCGGGCTCAGGGGAGCCGCCGCAAGACTAGGTCCTGGACGCGTCTCCTTTATGCTGAAATTGAACACGTACACGGCACAGCAAAGGGGGGTGTGATCGTATGGCAAGCATCTAAAGGCAGCGGGATCTCGTGTGCCAGAGGAAGGCAATTAGGAGAGAAGGCCCCGGCCGGTGTAGGGGAGCACAGGCATATGTTACCCTGGGGTGCAGAGTCAGAAAATGGGGGGCTGGAGCACAGCAAAGTGGCTCTGGAGACAAGAGTCCAGCCGTGCCTCTCACCACGGGAACCAGGTGGCCAGCGCTGTGTCCACCCTGGGTGTGGGGCCACTAGCACGGGGTGGCAGTCACTTTCCTTCACTCTGGCCTCCAAAGGCCACGGAAATGACATCCAGCTTTAATACTGATTTAAATTACTGGCAAGGTCAGCTAGTTGTCTGATGATGCAGGATTCTGGCCGTGTAAGAGTTAGAGTATGTCGTCCACCCACAGGAGGATGGTTTTCAAGATCTAGTGTGTGACTTGGGTAAACACAGTCCCATGATGAGGTCATTTCGTCTCTAATCAGTCATAAGGCATTTTAGAATGACCACGTACTTGTAGGTCATTTTTTTTTTTATTACTGTGCCAGTTTAAAGAAACTTCTGAGTAAATGAACTTCATAAACCAGCACTTGATGCAGTGATTCCAGAACTCAGGGTAGCGAAAGGGGGTTGATGGTCCTCACTGACCACATAGCAGGTTTACATTAAAGTGCGTGCTCGCACCACAGCTGAGCAGGGCCCCAGCCTGTCTGGGTGCCTCGAGGCCAGTGGTGGGGGGTCCCCTCCCATTAGGTCACAGAGCTCCTCTGCAGCCGAGAACTTGAGGAGCCAACAGCATGTACGAGCTTAGTCTAGAAAGACAGTTTTGTCTGTTCTAGTGCACTAATGCCAGCTACACCTTTATTCCATACAGAGTCAAACATCAGTCACCTCCCGACTTACATATGACACGGCACATAATTTAAAAGGCGAACCCCCGTACCTGGCTGCAGGTAGTTATTCTGGTCTTGGTACTGGGGAACCAGATGCAGTGCTTTCAGCTCCCTGGCACCAGAGTTGTCGATACACAGCACTTGCGTGCCCCCTTTCAACTGGCAGATCACCTGGAATGGAAGAGAACAGTCAGCTTTCACTTATATTTTATTTTATTTTTTGTTAAGTTTATCTTTATTATTATTTATTTAAGCATACAAGAACTGGGGGATAGACCAGAGGCATGGGAGGGTGAGAAGATTCACCGGAGACAGAGCGGGGAGCAGAACAGGCAGACTGACTGAAAAACACTGCTGAGGGGAGCAGCGGGGAGACAGGAGAGGTCTGCCGCGCCATGTGGGTAGTTCCCTGGCCGGGGATGGAACTCGTGCTGCAGAGGCTGCAGACAGCTTCACAGTTGAGCTGTGCTCAACTCCCTGTGCCACCAGGGAGGCCCAGCTTTCATTTTAAAAGACACCCAGTGAGGTGGACGAAATAAGCTTAAGTCTGAGAAAGCCACTGTAATCCAGGTTTGCAGTTTTAACAGGGAATGCTCAGCCTCTGTTCACAGGAACAGGCTCTTGCAGGCTCCACAGAGCAAACAGCCGCAGGGGAGCGTTGGGAGAGGCCGCCGCACCCTGGCCAGCCGCTGCCGTGCTTTTCCATGCTTCTCCTTGCGGCTCCTCACCACCGAGTTTGAGGGTGAGGAGCGGACGACCTGCGCCCCCTCCCTTGGCCCTCCTTCCACTCCCGGCCCTGTGAAGCTGACCCGGTCTCCAGCTGTCGGAGACTTGGATGATCCTGAGTCTCACAATAGCTGCTCTTCCTGGGACACACCCACCCATTGTTGAACGTGGGATTATCTCAAATGTCCATCTCTTTTATTTCATACAAACGCAGCCTTACCCACGCACCGCAACATCTACGAAGCGTGGCGATTTCCCCAGGCCTGGCAAGCACGCTGGCGGTGGACCCTGATGGCAGCAAACCCTCAGCAAGCCCGGGGCGCACTGTGGCAGCCGGCAGAGCCAGGCGCCCTCGGCTCGCACAGCCTGCCGGGCAAGGCCCCGAGAAGGCGAGCCAGAGAGGCAGGCCCCTGCCTGCAGCTCCTGGTTCCGAGGGCAAAACTGCAAATACCCATAAAAGTTGTGGTTTGCCTTTAGTGCCTTTGAGTTTCCCAAAACAAATCATGAAAGGTCACTGTTAGCAAAACGAGGTGCAGGTCATGGGGTCAAACCCTCAGCTCATGCTGACGCTGGAGAAGAGACCAGAACTCATGTGCCCGAACTTCGTATTTGGAGGACAGTGTTTCGGACACTCGTGCGCAGAGCCCGGAGAGGCTCAGAGTAAACTCCCCGGGGCTGTCCACGGCACACCCGGGCCCGCGGCCCTCTGGCCTGTGTGACATCACCCAGAAGTCAACTGCAACTTCTCCTCCTGCTCAGCTGGCCCGGGGGCTCTGGAATAGCTCTGCCTTAGCACCCTCGGGCCTGCGTAGACCCTCTCAGCCAGGGCGAGTGCTGTGTCACCACAGCCCAGCCATGGCCCCCGATGAGCTCATTCTAAAGGATTTCTAGCTCACGTGAAGGCCTTTGAGCTCTGGCCGCCTGAAACGTTCCTGGGCACGAGGCCACTACTGGCTCTTTGTGCAAGAAGGTTTTTGGGAAAGGACTCTTGCCGCCTTCCCAGGCTTGCCCTGGACCCGGAGTCCCGGAGTCACCAGTCCACGCAGGCCATGAAACAGCGGTTTTCTTACCCACCAACCAGAGATAAGAGTAATGTCTATGATGCAGAGCTGGCGGGAGCATTAAACGAACTTCCAAACACGCAAAAGTGCACTGTAGGGTAAATGGAATTGATGAGGCTTTTTTTGCCACTAGCCTCTGCAGCCATCACTGCGGCCTTGTTCGCGTTAATGAGAAAGGCACTTGGGGGCGTGGGCGCAGGGCATGTGGGCCTGATGGTGGACCCTGGAGCGTGGAGTGGGCGTGCGTGAGCACGCGCAGCTGAGCCTGGGGGGGGATATAAGGGTGCGTCACTCAGCAACCGGACGGCTACAGGAGGACCAGCTGCGTGACTACGGAGAGGAGGGACCACACGAGCACCCCAGAGAGAGCCCAGAGAAAGCACATAGAGATTCATGGAGGGGCTGGAGGCTCGGTTGTCTGCCTGCTTCCTAGCACCCCATCCGGCCCGTGCCTGCCTCCTCGCTGCCAGCTCCCTGCTGGGGGTGCTTGTGCGCCTGGCTCCCTGAGAGAGCACGGAGGCCTGAAAAACCCCCCGAGGGTGCCAGGACTTTCCTTCATCGGTCTGCCTGAATCCATCGTGACCTGCCCCGTGCCTGTTGGCACAATCTCAAACCACAGATGTGGGTTACTGCTCCTGCGCAAGTGTTAGTGGGTGCTACAAAGAATTGGGAGGCAGAAAGGAAAGGGAGAAGCTTTGCCCTGCAGCCCCAGGACCTCAGCCCCTCCCAACCACATGCCAAACCACGGGCTCAGGCTCTGCCCGTCCCGGGCCAGCCCAGACCGGCCTGTCTGATGTGACTATGGCTACCTCCTCGACAAACACAGCACAGTGCTCATCTTTGGCCTGTGAAGAGCAGCTCGAAATGAGAATCACGTGAGAAAAAGAACATTAGAGAAGCTCTAATTATGTCCGTTTTGAGAGGCAACCACCCAGAGAGCTGACCCCACAGGACACAGGTGAAAAGCAGTGACCAAGACAGCAAGCACCTCTGGCTTAGGAACGAGAGTCAGGTGTGTGCTGGGCCGGCCTCTCGGAACTCCAGGTTATTCTCTTTGCATAATTACCATGGGGTTCGGGTCTTTCTTGTGCAAGCAGCCAGAGGCGTCCTCTGCTTCCTGGGGAGACGGGAACTTGCAGCAGGGCTCCTGGGCCAGCGGGTTCTGGAAAGCTGCTTCCTCTGGGTTGTTACTCGGGACAGGAGCACCTGCGTCTTTGATCTCCACCTACAAAAGCAGTCGCCACGTTAGAGCCCACATGGGGCCTTGCAGCTGCCAACATATACTATTCTCTGAGAATTTCCTTCTGCGAGTGGCCAGCACCCTGGCCCCTCGGGCCCCTCTTCCTCACTGTCACCTCCCTAGAGGGCAGCAAGCCTCACTGGGGACGAGGGACCCCCAGGACACAAGCCATCTGCCCACCAAGTGTAGCGATGTGGGCTCACCGTGGTGCTCTGGCTGTTTCTAAAAATATGGTGCCAGCAGCCGAGAAGACTCCTGGAGGCCCACAGCCTGGACTTGAACTGGCAGAGTCGTGGTGCCTTCCTAATCTCCTGAAATGGGGACACCCCTACCCCCCGCTGTTCCCAGAGCAAGCTCCAAGTTAACCGTTTTGCCCCCAACCCCCACAGCGGGAAGTCTACAGTCCTCGCTGCTGCCTCAGAAACACGCATCTGTGGTGTGACTCCTGGGGCGCTTGGTGACATTTCTAATCAGAGGAGCCTCCCTGGCTGCTTCAGTCATGTTCACGTGGATATGAGTCGGTGAACGGCTACCAAGTCTCCTCTCAACCGTCGGCGACACACCAAGTCACCAAAAATAGGGAAAAGTAACCACGTATTACTGAAAATCGATGGAATTGAAAACCTAAAAAGTCATGATGATCAAAAAGAAAATTACCATCAGATTTGAGTCCTCTAAAACGAGGGTGCTTCTCTTGAAGAATTTGCTAAGAATGTGAGGAAGATTGAGGGGCTGGGCCTTCCACCTGCCCACCCCGGCTATCTCCCCCTGCTCCGCCTCCAGCTGCCCAGCTGCCTGGAGAGACAGGAGGCAGGTCACAATGTCCGCCAAAGGAGATGGCGACTCTGGGTGACATGCTGAAGTCTCCTATAAAGCCACGGCAGACAGTGATCTCTCAAAGGGTGGGTGTGACTCAAACCAGGAGATCTACCTTAATACCTTACTGAAACCTGGGGCTCAAAGAATAGTCATCACGTCCTGGCAAATCGCTGAGCACAGCCGAGTGGCAGTCAGGCTCCAGCTAGCTCAACATGGACTCAAAATGTCTGACAAAGGCTTAATTTAGAACTTTCTGAAGTGATTTAATGACTGAGTGTCTAGTTTTCCAAGGAGGGGGGCACACATTTCCTTGGGATCCTTTTTCCCTTTAAGAACATTTAATATCAGCAGGAAGAAAGCAGAGAACGGCCAGTGGCGATCCAGAGTAAGAGGACCGTCTCTGAGAACGAGCAGGAATGTGTTTCTAGCCCAGATGCTTGGAGAAGCAGCAGCCGCAGAGGGACGCTGAGGCCTTGAGTCCAAGGCTCACCAGACACAAGAATGAACCGTGAATTCCTGCTGTGAATCCCAAAAGCCCCATCACCCTCAAGGGAAACTGCAAGCTGCATACACAGGAGGACTCCATCGCCTCGTACCAGCGACTCTGACGCCCCAGCGCAGGGCGTCCACCTCCAGCCCGTCCCGGTGGCAAGGCCGGCTCTGAGCCACTGATGCTGGACGCACGTCCCCTCCGGGGAAGGGGCCTGGGGCGAGATGCTCAGACGGCAGCTGGGACTAAAAAGGGGAGCACCCTGTTTGGAAGGCGAAAGGCCAACCGGAGATGCTGCTGAGCCAGGAAGTGCGGGAGAGGGGACCCCTGCAGCCGTGGGGTTTCTCTTTTGGGAAAGGGGGTGGTGCTCTGCCTGTTTCCCACTTGGCTCTTACTGGAATGACCCGGACCCCGGCGTGGGCCGCGCCTTCCCTGGCCCAGGTGCCCAGGGGCACGACAGCCGGACTCCTGTGTGGGGTCAGCAGGGAGGACAGGAAGTGGACATTGTAGGCCTGTGGTGGCGGCACAGCCGGCAGCACGGCGTCTTCCAGGGGGTTGAGCTCTGGGAGACCCGGGTACTCCCCGAGGAGTTCCTCCTCCTGTTCATCCCCCAGGAACTCGACTTTGACTTTACTCTTGCAGTCCACACTCAGTGGGGGGCTGAAGGCTGGCAGCAGGGGCTCTTTGGGGTCCGCAGGGCTCAGGTAGGCGTCCTTGAAGACGTGGAACTCGTCCTCCTCCCGCTTCACCACCACGGGCGTTTTCAGGGCGAGGTGCTCAGAAACGAACTGACTCTCCGCGCCAAACAGTTCAGTCACCAGCTCGTCCTCGGGGCTGGGCATCCCAGCGAGCAGAGCGGCCTCATCCATGCCCTCTGAGGACGCCTCAGGCCGGGCATCGCCCAGCACCCTGTGCAAGGCCGGATCCAGCGCAGAGCTGCGCACCTGCAACCACACAGCCAGGTAAGCCTGCCGCCTGCCCTGCCCCAGGCCCAGCCAGCCTCCCCCCAAAAGCCCACAAGTGACCCCCCCAGGAGCTCACGCTGGTGATCTGGGGGGGCCTCCCCCAGGGGTCCGCCCTGGGGAACCTCCAGGATCGCCCCAGGAGCCCACAGGGGCCTGCCACTCTCCCCCAGGTGCAGACCCCAGGTGACCCCAGGACTCCCCCAGGAGCCCACCCTGGGCAACTCCCGAGGACACGTCCCTCGGCGCCCAAACGGGGTCCCGCCGCCCCCGACCACTAGGAGCCCAGCCAAGGTCCCACCCACCCGCGTCCCGTCTCTCCCCAGGGGCCCACCGGGTCCCTCGGTCGCCGCGCCCGGAGAGCCGAGAGGGTCCCGCTGGCCGGCGCCGGCGGGGCCGGGGTCCCGAGGCCGACCTGGGGGCGCGTGGGCCGGAGGGGGCCGGGGCCGCGGAGGCAGGGCCTGGGGCTGGCGCAGAGCCCGCGGGCCGCCGCGCCTGGGCGGGAGGGTGGGCGGGACGCACCTGGGCGGGGCGGTGGGCGGGACGCACCTGGGCGGGACGCACCTGGGCGGGAGGGTGGGCGGGGCGCAGCGCAGCGCGAACCCCCCTCAGCCCGGCGACCGTTGGCGGTTGAGAAGGAGGCGGGGCCTGGGCGTGGTCACGAGGGCGTGGCCGGTCGGGGCGTGGCCGTGGTCGGGAGGGCGGGGCGGGGCCGTGGGCGGGGCGTGGCCGTGGGCGGGGCGGGGCCGTGGGCGGGGCCGTGGGGCGGGGGGGGGGGCGGCCGCGGAGGGCGCGTCGGGCACCTGCTCTGCGCGCTCAGGTGGGGAAACTGAGACCCCCCAGGCCAGTCTGAGGCAGCGCTGGGGGCTCCCTGGTTCGAATGCGGACCTTCGTTTTTATTTATTTATTTATTATTATTATTTTTTAAGATTTATTTATTTAAGATTTATTTATTTATTTATACATGCACTGGGTACAGTCAGAAGCGCGGGAGGGTGAGAGAATCCACCAGAGCCAGAGCGGGGAGCAGAGCAGGCAGAAGGACCGAAGGACACTGCTGAGGGGAGCAGCGGGCGGCAGGAGAGGTCTGCGCGCCATGTGGGACCCTCCTCCGGTGGCCGGGGAGCAGCCGGGGATCGAACCGGCGCTGCAGAGGCCGCGGGCAGCCTCGCAACCCAGCGCTCAACCGCCGCGCCACCGGGGAGGCCCTTGGCCTTAGTTTTTAAAGCATGTTTTTTAGCGCCGCGGGTGGGCGCAGGGTCAGGGGCTCACCCTGGCTGATTCCCGAGAGGCGCCTCCGGGCGGGCGGGCGCTGGAGCCTGGGCTTTCGAGGGGGAGGGAGTTGGCCAAACCCGAGGAAAGCAAATCCCACACCAGCAGGCGTAGGGTGAGGAGTTAAATCCCCCTTCCTAAGATGCAGAAGTCAACCTGCTTAAAAAAAGAGGTGAAGGCTTCTTTAGGGGTACAGTAGTACCCTGCAAATGCAGACAGACCGAGTTCAGAGGTATTTTGGGGTTGATGGGCCCTGGAGGTTGTCAGGAAAGACACCCTAACTCTCAGGTACCCCCACCTGCAACGTTTGTTTTGGTAGGATAAAAGTGTAAACATCAATTTCTAATCTCATTTGTTAAAAATTGCTTTTCTAAATCAAATGACAGAAGCCAAGACACAGCCTCACTATGTCCTAATTAGCTGCACATTAGCAGTCAGGAAATCCCGAGAAAATTTTGCAGTTGAGAACAAATCAATTTAAGGTGCAGCCTGGCATGTGCTAGGACTTCCTCATCTAAAAAATCATCCTGGGACATTCACGTTGACTTTAAGAGATCAGGGTGATTAAATTCTCTCGCGGGAAACCTCTTAACAAACTAAACTATTATTGGCGACAAGTTCATTACAATCATACCTGACCCACAGGAGGGAAGTCCCCTGGTTGGCTGCGAGTGGGACATAAACCACCCCTTCCTGGGGTCCCCTCCTGGGGGGGCAGGGCTGCGGCAAACTCTAGTGGCTTCTCTGGAGTAAAATTACGATGTCTTTTTCCTTTAATAACACGGCAAGCCTGCTACTCAAACACTCCTAAGGTAAAGCTGGAAGTCCCCTGGGCAACCCCCGGTGAAGGACAGTGTCTTTCTCGGGGTAGTTATCCAAGTCGTGCTCCAGCTGCCCCCGAGCCAGCCCCCCGCCCGTCTGTGCCAGCGCCACCCCAGCCCCACACTGTCCCCTCACTGCCTGGACACTGAGCCCCTCCACTTGTTTCTCCACCTCCTCCCGCTGCCTCTGATCTCCAGAACGAGGGGCCCCCAGTGTCCACAATAGAGCTCAGCACACAGTAGGGCAGTCGAGAAAACTGACCTTGCACGCCCACTTAACACATTCACAGAGCACCTGCTATGTGTGAGGCCGGGGCCAGGGGGTGGATGGGTAAACGGCGTGGACTGGAAATGCCCGGCCCCGTAGCAGCTGCCCTTCTCGGGGCGCATGAGCCTGGACCCCGCGAGCACGGGCCCTGCTTCACCTGACCCAAGGCCTCGGCTGCAGCTGTGGCCTCTCCCGTCTCCAGTGCTTGACGGTCCCCGACCCATGACCTCTCTCAGCAAAGCAAGACAGACCCGAGCATGGAGTAGACAGGGATTAATGTCTTTATTAATGTTAACATTCACACTGCACTTCTGGGAAGAGAGACACCGAGGAGCCCCTCGTATTTACACGCAGTGGAGTCCGAGAACAAAGGCAGCCACAGCCCGAGACGGTGGCTTGTTCCAAACTAAATACACAATCCTCCCGCCGCCCCTCCAGCACGTACAATAAAAACCCAGTCTCCCTTCCTTTGAAGAATATAAAATTGCATTGACGACTGCACTGATGAGCAACGAGGTGACGCTTGAAACATTTAACACCTGAAACAAGCCCAGGTCTGCGTGGGCTGCGTGTGCTGCCACGCGGGAGGCCAGGCCACGCTGCCCCAAGGTCAGAGGCCTTGGGCGGGCCTGATGGTGGCCGAGGCCGGCTTCCAGGGGAAGCCAAGCTGGCGGGGGGGGGGGGGGAACCCCACCTGCTCGACTTTATATACCACAGAGAAACGGGGAGGGGGTGTGATTATTTTTTTTCTCTTTTCATTTCTTCCCGCTTTTAAGAGAAAAAGTCTTTGATCCATTTAGGCGGGGTTTCCCATGGTAATAGGGCACGAGCAGGGCGGCATGGGGTCTGCGGCAAGCGCTGTGCACCCTGCAGGGCCGCTCTCCCCACGATCCCTTATGCTTAAATATTGGAGACGACTCAGTGCATGGCTGCTTTTTGGTCAATGAGATTCTCTTGATAAAGGCACACGCCCATGTGCGGAGGCCTGTGCGGCCCCGGCGCCCACCGGGGTGACCTGATCGGCGTGGCCACCCCTCCTGGGCCACTGGGCCGCCCTCCCGATCTCAAGGTCACTCCTCCCCTTTCTTAATGTTGTCCTGACAAAGGTCATGCTCTCCTTGGTCAGTCAAGGGCAGCAGTGACCCCAGGCGGTCGTGGAATTGGATTCCTTGGCCAACATGCCCCACACGCTCCCTTTACGCATCACCGCCCTTGCTCCCCATTCCTGCCACATGCTCATTCTTTCCTGTGTTGCGTAAGGCGGGTGCGGGCGCAGGGCCCTCCTGGGGAACCGGCCGCGGGGTGTGGTCCACACTCAGTAGAACCCACAGTTTCGCCCCGAGGCACCACAGAATGAACCTCTCCTCGGTCTCCCTCACATTTGGGGCCTGTCTCACGTGTTAAGGCACTGGGTTTTGAAGATACGGGGGTGCAGGGAGCAAGAGGAGGTACGCTAGTCGCGTCCCGGGGGAGGCAGCCAGGCAGCTCAACCAGAGAGGACGGGGTTGGGGGGGCCGGGGGCCGCCGTCCACGCAGCGCAGGACCTGGGTTAGTGCGTTACTAACGGTTATTGACTGTCAACATCTCTGAGCTAAACAACGCCTTTCTCTGCACACGGTGTCTGCCGCGAGAGCGCTCCCCGCCGCCCGGGCCCAGGCCCTCGGCGGACACCGAGGAACCGTCGTTTCATTTCCGGTGCGTGAGAAGTCACAACCCCGCTACCACCTAAATTAGCGCAACGGTACTTTAATCCCTTAATAAATACAGGTTGACACAGGACTTTCGGGCACTTGATGGAACCTTCCCGCTGTCGGGCCCTGCCTGGAAGTGGGAGGCCCCGCCCCCCAGGGTCGAGCCCGCCGTGCTAGAGAAACAAAGACACCCACCCCTCGGCAGAAGGAAAACCTCTGAGTTTTAAAGAGCAATTTTCATCCCGAATCCAACCAGGGTCGACGGCTATTTTTCATTTGGTTTTTATCAGGAGAGCTCATTTTCCTTCACGGCGGCTGGCGGGGGTTACTTTTTGGAATTGGAGCTGACACCAAAGAGCGCGATGATGTCCATCATGGCTTCTCTGATGTGCTTCCCGAAGCGGTGCGAGTCCTGGCGTCCAAACACAAACAGAGGTGACGACGCGCCGCCCCCGCCTGACAGCCCTTCCTGCCGGCTCTGACCTGGGGCCCCCCGAGTGGTGCACTCTGGGGAGAGGACGGTGGCGGTGATGGGGCCGCGTCTGCCACGGGGGGGGGTCTAGTGCCCTGGGGCGTGGTGCACCCCATGAAACAGGAGGCAGGTGACCCCGTCTCTCTGCCAATGGGGAGCCTGGCATCGAGTGTGACATGACGGGAAAGGGCAGCATAAGCCGGGATGGGCACGCGGCCGGAGGGAGGCCGGCGTCAAGCGGGCGGACGCTCCCCCAGCCGTGCCAAGGTCAGGATGAGACGCATGGCTGCCAGCAAGGAGACACCGTCTCTGCCACACCCAGGTGGAGAGGACCTTGAAATTCACTTGTCTGAAAACTCTCAAGCAAGGGAAAGCGCCTACGCGGACGCCCGTCCTCCGTGAGGCTACAGACCGGCTCCCCTTGGACGGAAAAGGGTGAAAATCTGCTTTAGAGAACGGGGCCGGAGTTGGACTCACTGTTTCAGCGCAGGAGAACTTGGAGGAGATGTGGAAGTTGATGAAATTCTCACCCACGATGATGTAGGACACGCCGTACCCGTCGTCGGCCACCTGCAGGACAGGCAGGTCAAGCGCCTCCCTGGGGAGGGGCGGGGTTCCCCGGGGACAGCCCCCTCTTTGCAGGACAAGGCCAGCCGCCACCAGGAGTCGGCAGGGATTCCCTGGCAACAGGCCCCTGGGAGGGGTGGTGGCCCCCACGCGTGCACGCGGACTCCCGGCCACTCACCGGCCCGAAGCCCCCTCCGCAGGACACGTACTCCGGGTTCCTCTCCAGGTCGAACAGCTCCACCTGCTGCTGTGGGGTCTGGCTGGTGGACAGGCGCCATGGCTCAGACAGGACCTGTCACGGCGGACAGGACGCACTCAGCCACCTTCCACGGGAGGCGGCAGCTCCACTAAGGAGGATGGGGGGGCCTTGCTGACAGCAGACAGTCGGGCGCGGCCGCCTGGGGGCGCGTCCCGGGGGAGCCGATGGCCCAGCGGTGCGGGGGCTGAAGCGGGGCCACCGGCATCCGAGGTGAGGACAAGGACGCCCCGGGCCCTGCACCAAGGCCGAGTGCGCCTGCCCCAGGAAGGGGGGACTCACTTCCTTCAGGAATGGGGAGTCGACAGCGAGATATTTGGACACCACGTAGAGGCAGAAGAGGTGGCGGTCGATGCCAGAGCCGGTCATCGCCATGCGGTACATCAGCTGGTGCTTCTCCGACGCCATCTTGAACAACTTGCGCCTCTGCTCCACCTAAATGGCAGAGGATGGGCGTCTGGGCTGGTGCAGAAGCTTCTAGACGAAAGGCGAGAGGCCTTGCAGGGGCCCCGGGGGCGCCGAAAAGGTGGCAAGGAGACCTGCCAGGAGTCCCCCTAGCCCCCAGATTTAATGGGAACGCAGGGCACAGGTGAGCTGGGGAACTGCCGGCCTCCCACAGGTGGGCGCACCTGGACCCCCATCCCTATTTTAGCATCAACTTTTCTTGGATCATGCCCGACTGCTGCTCGGCTGACACCCACGGGGCTGGCACCAGTGTTTTCCGAGCCCACGTCTGGCACCAGCACCCTGAGTTTGCTCCAGGCACCAGTGACCCCCCCAAGCACGGGCTCCTTGTCTTTCCCCCAACTCGTGTGCCAGCTCACGGCATCCGGCAACCGACGTGGGTGTCATGGGCGAGAGGCTGGGCACCAAGCCCCGCTGCCTGCCTCTGTGCCCTTGGCAGGGCTGGGGCGGGAGGCTGAGCGTGCTGTAAACGTGCAAAGGGCACACGGGTTTGGGCCGGAAGCACAAGCACGGCGGGGAGCCATTGGGGACAGCACAGAGGTTAGCCGACACCTACCGTCTGGGCAGGGTCCACCATGGCCAGGACAAAGTTGCAGGACTCGGTGGTACAGGAGCGCACGGTCTCTGTCCGCCCCTCCCGGAACAGCCGCGTCATGGAGGCCTCGTAGGTGAGGCAGAACTTGCCCATGTCCTGGGGAGGAAGCGCAATCCACACCTCGCAAGTGCTGACGAGAGCCACACGTGGGGTCGTGCAGGCCACAAGGACACGCATGCCCGGTCGCCAGCTTTTATGCTTCTACATCATTGTAGCAGGCGGGTGGAGACACCTCGAGCTTTGGAAAGAGCTGGGGTCAGGGCCCGGTTCTGGGTAACCCGGGTTTCCGTTGTCAGGTACAGCCGAGGCCATGGCACGACCTCGATCCCACCCCCACCCCACGCCCAGGAAGCCTCGTGCCTGCAACTCTGCGCCAATCAGATTCTGTGCTGCAGCTCATTTCAAGGGTCTGTTCTCCCCTGGGCCAGGTGACGGGAGCCGGTGTGCCCCCAGCTCCTGGCCTCTTCCTCCATGTGGGGTTTGGGGAGCCGGTCCTGCCCTGGGGGGTTCTGAGAACCTGGCCCGAAGGGGCAGGAGCCCTCACCTCCACCCCTGCAGGCGGGGCGGCCGGGCTGTGCACCAGCCCCGCCCCACCCCCAGCCCCGGTGCCCCGCGGCCGCGCACCTTGTAGTGTGCCAGCTGCAGGGCGAGCTGCACAAAGGCGTCGGGGCTGGTGCGGCACTTCTTGATGCGGCCCTTCCCGAAGACGTCAAAGGGGAAAGTGTGGAAGTCCACGTCGTCCGCCAGCCGGGTTGCGCTGCTCAGGGCGGTTTCTATCACCTCCTGACACTTGGGGGGGAGGGGGCGCGCTCAGCGGGCGCAAGGACGGATGCAAAGAGCCGCCTGCTGCCTGCAGGGCAGGAGGGGCTGAGGCTGGGCAAGTCCTTCTCAGCTCTTTCCGGAAAGGTCACTGGCAACCCCCAGCCCCCACCCCGAGCACCCTGGGTAGCCCAGCGGGAGGCGCACAGGTGGAGACAGGGCGGATCCGGCCCTGAGAGCCTAAATGGGCTCCCGGGCGGCCGCCGCTGCCCGGCGCTCGGACTTACCTCCTCCGGGATGTCCCACTGCAGCCGGGTGGGGGGCGGGATGCTGGGGTTGGCTTCACCCTTGCAGTGCCCGTCGTCCCCGTAGCCCAGCTGGAAGCAGTCGGTGGCCATGACGTACTGTCGGGGAACAGAATGGGGGGTCAGAGGAGACCCCGTTACTCCCGGTGCGGCAGGAGCCGCAGAGGTGAGTCTCGGCTCTTGGTGGGGACGCCGGGCAGCCCCGCGGCACCAGGGGATACCCAGGGGACCCAGTGGCCCTGGACAGGCCAGAGGCGCGGCCAAGACGGCTGCCAAGTCGCGCTGCACTCCTGGGCTCTGACCGGCTCCCAGGCAGGGGCCTCGGCCAAGGGCCTCGGCGCTGTCCTGAGTTCACCCCGAGTCAGGACCCGGAGCAGGCGTGGGGGTTCTCCTGTCCCTGGGAAGCCAACCCGAGCCGGGTCCATGGGGGGGCCTCCTTTCAGCCGGAGCGGGGAGACACCCCAGGCCTAAGTGGCCACACCAGTGTGGGACAACACCCTCTCCCCTCCTCCTCCCACGCCTGGGACACAGGCCGCCGCTGCGTCCTCCCGGCCATCTGAGAGGCAGATCCTCTCCTCTTTACCAAAGAACAGCTCTTCCCACATCCCCCCGGGAAGCCCCGGCGTCAGGAGCTGGGGTGCTTCTTCCCGCCGTGCCAGGGCCCCAGCACATGTGGTCTTGGCTGCATTTTCAGCCGAAATGCTCGTGGGCCTCTATTGGCGTTAGGGACCCAAGCGGCTGGGGTGCCTTCCCGACGCTTTAAAGTGAAGGCCGCATGGCTGTCTGGAGGCCAGAGCGCTCGGCTTCCTCCTTCCCATCCTTGCCCCGGGGAGAAAACCTCCCCAGAGGAGGAGCAGCAGGTGCCTGCCCAGACCTGACCTGACCTGAGACTGTCCCCCGAAATCTAGGGAGGTGCGACGGGGGCGCCTGGGGCAGCTCTGGGAGGGGCTGGGGCAGGGGGACACTCTCAGAGCAGGTGGGGTCACGCCCAGCTTTACAGGCCACGGGCAAGCAGGGCAGCCTCTAGAACGCGGCCGTGGGAAAGACACCGGCAGATCAGCCTCCTCAGAGGAAATGTCGAGACTCCAGGCCGCTAGAACTTTTTGTTTTGCTTTTTTTTCTTCTCTTTTTTCCCACTGGGTTCTTTTCTCTCCCTTCACAGACATTCAAAGCACAAAGAATGAGCTAACGCATGGGATGTCTTCGAGCTTACAACACTGGGATTACATCATTCCAGGCAGGTGAGCCGGGCCGGCGCCTCCGAAGGGCAGCGAGACGCTTGCCCACATAGACGCAGGCGGCCTGGGGGCCTCCTCATGGCCCCGCCCTGCTCGGAGCAGCAGCACAATGACAACCTTCCAGGAACAGCCTCACATGCCGTGGAGCCGCGACGGGCTGGCTGCTCGGTCAGCCTCACTTCAAGTCCCGCCAAGCCGGACGGTGCTGTCAGGCCGGCTGCCCCGCACTACAGGTAAGTGACCTACAGGTAAGTGACCTCCGGGCTGCCCTACAGGTGAGCGACCCCCTTCTCGACAGCCCATGTTCACAGAGCAATGAGTTTACAACAGGCGGGGGGCATCCAGGCCACCCACGCTGACTTGTAAAGCCCCAGGTTGGTGGTTCTAACTGACCCGGGAACTGTGAGAATTCCATGCCATGAGGAAGGGCACGGCGAATTGCTAGAAAGCAAGGGTTACATCGGTCGCTTCCATGTGGCTTGAAATGTGGTTGATAAGAAAACCTAGGAAACAGCGCCAGCGGCTGCTTTTCAATTCCGAGTGAAGTGAGCTTTGGGTCTGCCCCAGTCACTGCCGTCTGCACGTCCGGGCCCCCAGGAGCTGGCCCTGGACGCCGTTCCGGGCACCCGCATCACCAGAAACCAGACAGGCGCTCTGGTTTGGGGACCCCAAGTTCTTGGCCTTTTTACTGTATTATCTCTTCATGGGCATAACGCTGGTTTGTGACGCTAGTGACTTGGGGGTGGGCGAAATCCTTAGTCTGTCATCAGACCCTCGTCAGACTGGGTCTGGGGGTCCCCCCGGGGGCCCAGCAGCCGCAAGCCTCACCTCCCAGAGGTGCCCCACGATGGGCGCGTCGGCCCAGGAGTGCTCCGTGTTCAGGCCCATCTTGCCGTTTTTGTAGACGATAAAGGTGAATGACTTGTCGAACCACCTACGTGGAAGAAAAATGTCTATGGAACCAACGTGTTTGGAAAGGACAAAACAAATGAAAACCATGTGTTTGCTGGACCTGGGTGGGCTCATCTACGCCCCAACCCGCGACAGCGAGCGGGGACTTGGGGCCCTCGTGTCTGTAGGTGGCGGAAGCCCACCAGGCCCCGCGCCGGCCGCGCACAGCCAGGCGTCCCAGGGCCCACAAACCCTGCCTTGGCGAACCCCCAGCCTAATGGGGCCTCACGGAGAGAGGAGAGGGAGGGGACAGCCGGGTGGCGACCGCATGGGACTCGTCCACCAGCTTCTCCGGCCTGGTTCCGAGACCAGGGGCCCCGGGCCCTCACTAGCCGCTCCGCCGCGGGTCCCACTGTGCCCAGAGAGTGGGAAGCTTCAGACTTCCTGCCTCAGCTGTGGGGTGTGCGTGTGGGCTTGGGTAAGAGAACGTGCAAAGCCTGCATTTCTGCCATCTTATCCCCTGAGACCACCGGGGCATCCGGTACCGTGCCGCGCTCAACGCTGTTCTGCTCTGACGCACGGGGAAGAACCCGCGAGGGCCCCATGAGGTCGCAGCCGAGGCCCAGGCGCCGGGAGCGCCTCCCCTGTCCGGGCAAACACCGTCTTGAGGCAAGGGCGTACCTGTCGAAACACCTGCCGTGCAGGAGGGACTTGGCGTAGCTGTCCAGGGACCTGACGGGGTCGTCCCTCTTGTAGCCCTGCGAGGTCTCGTCCAGCGTCACGAAGAAGGCGGCTTTCTCCACAGCATCCAGAGACTGCTTGTTCTTCCCACGTCCGAAATAGGCCTGGCGGCATTTGGCCCAGGGGACTCTGCGGCGGGGACGGGGCAAGAGGCAGGGAAACAACTCGGTGACACCCCCCACTGCGTTCTCCAGCTGCCGACTGGCCGTGGGCCGGCAGGGCCTCGACTCTCGTCCTGTTCCAGGCCACGCACGGGGCAACAGCCCAACCACGCAGAGGGGCTGCCAGCTCGGCCGCCCAGGGCGTCTGGCCGAGTGTGAGCTGTCCCAGCCATCGGGGACCAGCTCGCGGAGCTGTTGCCAGCCCCCCCTGCAGGTGGGGGCACCAGCAGCCAAATCCCAGGGGACACGTGGAACGGGCATGACCCCCACTCCCTGAGAGACGCCCAGACGGGCTCCTCGTGTGGCTCCTGGGTCCTGCCCCTGGGCCTTCCAGCTGGGGTCACTGCCTGCTGTCTCGGCCCTTTATCTCCCAAGGGGGCCTGAGGGGCCAAAAGCCCACAAACACACAGGTCAGCACTCTCCTGGGGGCGCAGGGCAAGGGGCACGCTCAGCTGGGGGAGGCTGAGACAGTCTCGGCTGTTTCACGGGGGGGTTGTGACTTATACCCCATGGGTAGAGAACAGGGATGTGGCTCATCACCCTACAAGGCACAGCATGCCCCCAAAGGACCATCCCCCCCGAATGCACAGAGCCGAGGCCGAGAACTCCGCTCTGTCTGTGTAATTCCTGCAGACGGGGAAGGCGCGGTGTTCACGTGAGGCAGGTTCTCAAGCGCCATTAGCATGGCTTCACTTTGTCCCTCCCCTGGATGCGGCTCCCCGCAGACCCCAGAAGGCCCGACCCCTGGCCGCTCCCCGTCCCTGCCCGGAGCCGTCCACACCTCACACACAGAGACGGTGAGGGCAGCCGGGGTGGGCGTGGGGCTGCCCGTCAGAGGAAAGCCTGACCTGAGAGGATCGGCAGAGCCCGGGCTGCCCCGGCACCCCGGGGTCACAGACACACACCTCTCCCCAGCGGTGAGGGACGCCAGCTTCGCCTCCCCCGGCTGGGGCTGGGACGGGTCGTCCAGGATCCGCTGCATCTGCTGCTCGATCTCGCGGGGCCTCAGCAGCCTGCCGTCGTGGTAGAGCCAGACCTTGAAGTAGCGGCCCCTGTGGAACACCACGATGTGCTTGCTGTCCCTCACGTGCTGGATGGTGTCTGTGGGGACACGAGGCGCGCAGGTCAGAGCCGGAGGTGGCGCCCACCCCGCGAGGCAGTGCCGGCTCAGCCCCGGCGCCCGCACATTCTAGTGCTGGTGAACGCTGAGGTCAGCGGCTGGCAGTGACCTGGGCAGCCGGAACAGCCTCTAGAAACCTGCCTGCCGGCGTCGAGGTGAGTGGAATCGGCTCTGTCTCTAAAACCCGCCTGCATCCCTGCGCCCGAGGTGGGAGCCGAGCCGTTACCCGAGCAGGCCCCAGCACCCAGGAGGTGGCTGTGTTTGGAGGGGCCTTACCCAGGACGGGTCCTGGCAAGGGCAGGGGGCAGGACGCAGACACGCAGGGGGACGGCCGTGGGGACACGGGGAAGAGGCACGCTCACGCCCAGACGGGCCTGGGCTGGCACCAGCTGCCGCACCGTGACCCCTGTTCGGGCAGCACCCAGTGCCCAGCGACCTGAAGTTGACCCGACAGCAGAGGGAGAAGGCACGGGCAGCAGCACCGGGGGGCGGGCAAGGCCTGACGGGGAAGGCGCGGCGCCTTACTGAAGTCATCTCAGAACACACTTCGGGGCAGAGCCAACCTCACTTGTTTCTCGGCAGCCACTGGTGCCAACACTGCGTTTCCTCAACCCACCCGGGCAACTCCCGCCAGCCCCCCACACGCGGGGCACCGGCCCCGACTCTGAAAGGTGACAGGGAGACGCCTGCCTCTCAGTGGAAATCCCTACCCCCAGCCCCACGAGCACACCCAGAGCCGGGATCTGCACAACCTCTGAGCTCACCACAGGAACACTACCAGCCGGGTCAGCCAAGGACCGGGGCCCCACACACAGCCCCCAGCCTGCCCGCACCGGCTGGAGAGACTCCCCGAAAGCTGATTCAGCTCGGGAACTTCAAGAGCAGCAAGGAGCTTGGTCTCCACGGCCTGGCCGTAGGCCCCAGACAGGGTGTGTGCATGTGGGGGTGGGGGTGTGCACGCACATGCATACTTCCCCACCGGCACGGCTGCTTGAGGCTCACACCCAGCACGGCCCAAGCCCTGGCCAGCCGGGGGATCCCGCAGGGCCCTGGTCTCTTCCTTCGTTCTCAAGGGTGTCCTGGCCAGGGCAGACTAAGTGCCACCCTGTGTTCTGGAAGCTCAGCCGCTGAGCGGCGAGTCTGGGTCCCCAAGCACAAGCAGCGTGAGTGCCCCTGAGGCACAGCTCTATTTACTGCACCCCAAAGACATCGTCTCCACACTCGAAGGTCTGGGGCCGCCTCGCACAGAGCAAGTCAAGGGGGTACCTGTGGTTTGATATCCGCCACACGCAGCCTGTGCTGCCCCCGGGGAGCCGCAAGAGCCCCCCACAGGTGAAGGTGACACTTCTGGCTACTGGGAGGCCAAGACTTCGCACGGCCTGACTATGTGTCTGTGGCATCATGCCCCGGTCTGGAGCCAGCCCCGACCTCCGCCGTGTGCCTGCAGCCCCGCGGGAGCCAGAGCAGGCGCCAAGGGAGCCGTGAGGAGGAGGTTGCACTGGCAGGCCTGGCCAGCACCGGGTGGCGCCTTCACTGGCCACCTCACCCGCCCACCCAGGACCGCCAGGACCCCCAACTAAAGACCCTGAACAGCCACGCCCTGGGCCGTGAGGCTGGTCCGCGGGGGGCCGGGGCCACTCACCCGTCTCCTCGCCCGGGATGCGAGAGGTGTTGAACATTCGCTCCCACTGGGCGGAGCAGAGCGGGATTGTGGACCCCAGAAGGAGAATCTGCAATAGAAACGTGCATCAAACCAACCAAAGCTCCCCGGGGAGTCAGGAGCGAAGCAGGACCGCACGCTGACGTGCCGGCCCGTCCGCAGGGCCCCTGAGGGCGGCTGTAGTGGCTGCCCAGGCGTGGGGCGCCGGCCAGGGCCCCTCCGGCCACCCGCTGCGGCGCCTCACGTGCAAAGTGACAATGAAACGAGGGCGCTTGGGACAGACACGCCCGCAGCTCGAGAGTGGCAGACCAACCGTGCTGTTTCCTCCGAGCAAATGAGGGGGCCAGAACTGGTGCCCCCAGAAGCCTGTCCATTTGGGGCACGGGAGAATGGAACCTCAACGGGCTACACTGAGGGAGGGACTCCAGAGCGGAGCAGACGCCAATGCATACACTGTGCGGTCCCTGGACAGCCCACTCAGGAAAGTGCCGGTCAGTCCCGAGTGACCGGCAGGTCCAGGACCCCTGACGGGCCGTGGGGGACTGGGGGTGGGAGAGGAGACAGAGGCAGGAGGGGGCCTCTGCAGGGGTGGTTGGCCCCCCACCGAAGACACCAGGTCGGCGAACACCTGCGCGCCCATCACCAGCGCCCCCGCCGACCCGGCCTGCCGGCCCCCAGCCCACCTACCGGCTTGATCTCCTCCCGGTCCAGCTTGCGTCTGTACAGCAGGATGGAGTGGATGGCGTTGCCAGCCCTGGCTGCCTGGATGTGCGTGGGGGTGATGTACAGCAGGTCCTGGGGGGACACGCAGGGGACCACACTCAGGGGACGCCCCACGACCCACACGTCCCCCACGGCGGTACCCCCACCCTGCCTGACAGCAGAGCCTGGCCGCCGGGCCTCTATCCGGATTACTCTGCTCTTTCTAAGAACACACGCCCTCAAGTCATCTTGGGCCACTACAGACTACAGTCTGTTCGAGGTCGATCATTCAAATGGCGGAAAAGGACAGGTGTGCCACGTCCCCCCACCCCCCCCAGGATCCTCACGGAATCATAACGAGAAAAGCAGAGACAGAGCAGGCCGGCAGGACCAGGGGCCCGCGGCCAACAGAAGCCAATCAGCCTCTGTGGCAGCGCAGCGGCCAGCTCTCGATGTCGGCTCTCCACGGGGAGGGAGGCCGGGCCATGGTGTGGCTGCGCCAGGGCTCTGGGGCAGCGGGACCGTGGCAGAGGAAGGGGCCCGTTTGTGGGAGACGGACATGGGCGTGCCCGGGGCCAGCATGGCGGGTGGACACCGGCTGACCAGCAAGTGGCCGGGGGCTCGGCCCAGCCGGCCAACAGCGCTACCTAAGTTCAAGACCTTTCGGGCCGAAAGCGAATTGAAAAGAAAAACTTGCAAAGGAGAGACACAGCGGGCGGAAGCCAATGATGACTCAGGAGAAACAGCGAGGGGATAACAGGCGTGAAGAAGGGCAGGAAAACTGGATTCGACAGCGGACGCGGGATCAGGAGGAGCCACGCGGCTGAGCCCCCAGGTGGGGCGGCCCCTGCTGCCGCCGGCCCCCGGCACGGCCACCGACTCACCATGGCGTAGTAGTTGCTGTTCACCATCAGCGGCCCCCGGCCTCGCAGGTAGATGTACTCCTCCCACCAGTCGCTCACCTGTGGGTGCAGGCGGAAGAGCCCAGGTGAGGGCGGCCATGGGCTGCCCCGCAGGATGAGGCCGGGGAGGGTGCGACTTCCGTTGGCCCTGGGGGGCTGCTCCCCCAAAAGGCAGCCCCGACAGACAGGGAGGCAAAGCAGGGGGAATGGAAGAGCGTCTTTCTAAGAGGACGCGCAGCCAGGAGGTAGCTGGCCTGTAGCTTACGCGTGATTAAAAAAGCAGCAGATGGAAATAGGTGACACATGTCGGACTGTAACGTCTGTTAATAGTCAGCTCTACCCAGAGCTGCCCCACAGACTGAGTCTCCCCTTCCTGCTTCCAAGTGTCCCCGAAGAAGCCAATGTCACATAATGACCCCAACCCTCACCCTAACCTCTCAGAGCCTCAGCACTAAGATGGGGTGTTGTCATCCCCAGCAAGACGCCCCCAGTGTCCCCTAGAGGAATCTCCCCCGACCACACCCCTCAAGCTTTGGGCTGTTCCCATCCATCTGGGTGGAGGGACCATTTTTCTTTCACTTTGTGTGGATGTATGAATCCGCGCAGGACAGTGTGCACGTAGTAGGTCCCTGTGAAAATGTGTGCAAACTTTACACATCACGTAGCCAGCGCCTGATCAACCCAGAGCGTGACATGCGCCCCCAGCCTCTCGCGTTCCCTCCCGCTGCCCACCGGGCCCCGCGCCCACTGCCAGACCCCTCACGGCCCCGCCTGGGTCACTTTAACACCTTCCTTCCTGGGAGCTGCTCCTCAAAACCTGCACCCACTTCCTCCTCTCCCCTTTTCTCCCGCTCGCCCCGCAAGTTTGCTTGGCCACAGACAGGAGAGTGTTTCCCTGCGAAGACGCCATCCCAAAAAGTTAGGAACAAAGACACCCACCCAGAGAGACAGCTTGTATCTGTACTCACGTAATTCGTCGCCCACCAGGATTTTAACTTCAGATACCACTGTAATTTGGGGCCAAGGTTGGCAGCAAAGTCCTGCGCGAGAACTGTCATCCGCTTAAAGTCGGCTTCCTTCATGAGCGGCTGCACGGACTCCAGATACTGCGCGGGCGGAGGAAACAAGCCAGGTCAGGACGCAGCGTCCTCCCCGGGCCCGGCTACTGCGCACACCTAGAGGATGCCGACGTCTCCCGCGGGGCTTGCCGGGTCACGCTGCCCACTCACAGGGGGCTAAAGGCCGTCTTGGGTGACGGTCACCAGCAGGTAAATGCGTCTGTGCCTTGTTGGCGCCGGGATAGCAGTCAGGATGCTGGGCCCCCTGTGGCCAGAGGCCTCTGGCTCATGAGGCCCCGAGGTGAGGGCGCCCAACACAGCACCCATACAGACCTGCGGCAGCAAGACCGCTGCCCAGCCCTGCCTTTCTCCGGCGATGTCCGAAGCCGCCAGGCCGCCTGCCGTGAAGCAGCCATGGGGGGCAGCGTGACTGCAGAGCCCTCCACATAGGGCCTCAAAGGTAGGGCCCCACCCCCAAATGGACCAGCCACTAAACCTTCTGAAGAGCACTCAACTGAAAATCGTGCTCTGAACAAACCACGGTGGGACACAGGACTTCCGAGCTGGGCACACCCAGTCTGGGCTGATACCAGAGAGGAGCTGGGATTTCACCTCCCTTCTGCAGGGACGTGGAGAGGCAGGGAGGTGGGTAGGATGAGGGGTGGGGCTCCTGTCGTCATTTCCCAGGGTTGGGTGCAGAGGAGCAGAAAAGGCCACAATAACTAAGCCTGGATTCAAAAGCCTAGAAGTTTCCTGCTTATGGTGTTTTAAATGGGTCCACAGGACAAGGAGAAAACAGAACCCCCTACAATGCTGCTGGGAGTGTAAGCAGGTTCATGGAGCTGGGTGGAAGCCAGCCTGGAGGACCACCACACACGGATGGCACAGGACCTAGCAATTCTGCCCCAAGGCACAACCCAAAAGCACTGGAAACAGGTCCCCAAGCCAAACATGTACTCGAATGTTCCCAGCAGCACTATTCACTATAGTGAAAAGGGAGAAACAACCCACATGTCCATCAACAGATGGTGGTCAGACGTGGTCCATCCAGACAGTGGAGTACTACGCAGCGATAAAAAGGAATCATGTTCCGAGAGCTGCTACAATATGGGTGAACCTGACAGCTACTTGAAAGAGCCAGAACAAAAGGCCGCCTCGTACATGACTCCACGGGTAGAAGACTCGAGATAAGAGCAAAATCAACAAGTCCACACAGGCAGGCAGGAGGCTGGTGGGAGCCGGGGGCTGGGGAGTAGGGGGATGGGGAGGTGGCGGTCTTGAGGCTGCCTATGGGCCTGGGGTTTGGGGTGATGGAACAGTGTTGGGCCCAGACAGTTGTGGCCGCAGGACATTGTGAGCGCACCTGGCACCACAGAATCGTTCACTTAAAAATGGCTAAAATGGTCTCTTTTCTGTTAGGTGTACATTTGCCACGACTTAGAGTGCCCCTGTGATATACCAGAACCCCTGGACGCGCTCATGGATAAACTGGACAGTATGTGAATTCTATCTCAACAAAATGGTTTAAAAATATTTGCCAGGCAGTTTGTCTATGAAAAATATGGCCCTTTAAAAACAAAATCTAAGACCGACCGATACCACTGAAGGAAAAAAAGGTCTCACACAACAAGCCTGCCAGGGACGCGTTGAGAGCTGGCAGCGGGAGACAGGCCAGCGCACCGTCCCGTGACCTCCACCCCGCGAGGCCTGCGTGAGTGGGGTCCCCACGAGCCTACCCTGTTCACGGTGTCCTTCACGGCGGGGACGGGCAGGCGCGGCAGAGACGTCTGGAAGCTGTACAGCATTGGCTTCCGGCCGGAAAAGACCTTGACCATACACTTTGGGGGGAAAAGCACATTTTACCAGCTGAGCCCGCCCAGGACCCTCGCCAGCCCGCGGGGCGCACGCTGCTGCTGCTTCCTCACTCGCCGTGCTGTTTACCTCTCCTCGGCCTGTGTCTGACACTCAAGCCCCGCCGAGCAAGCAGCCCCTCGCCGCAGCCAGGTGAGTGCAGGGGAAGCCTGACGGATGCCTGGAGGCCCTGCCTGCGTCACCCCGGCCAGCACCCCTTGCCCTGGAGGGCTCCTGACGGCACCCGGGTCGCCCGCCTCCTCTGCCAGGAGGAGTTTGGGGGCCGCTCAAGGCGGTAACCCTGGTGAGCAGGGGCGTGTGGGGGTGCCTAGCCTCCCCACACGGGCCTTGTCCCGGAGTGACCGAGCTTGCTGCAGTAACCGCTCCCCTGCTTCCATCTGGGGGGCTCCCATACAACCAGGGCTTGCGGCTACAGGGCTGCACTGTGCCCCCGTATTTGCTAAGCGGGGACAGCTTGAGTCCATGGTCCGAGCACAAAAGGAGCCTTTGGTACCTTCGTGACATTCACGGTGGGGGTTTCAGGGTGCGCCCTCATCTCGGCAGGCACCCCATGGTGCCTAGAGGCAGGACAGCTCACCCGCCTCGGCCGCCCCTCGCCCAAGAGCCCCGCCAGCTGCCCAGGCCGTGCGTTACCATCCAGACCCTGGTGGCGCGGCTCATCTTGCCGTGTTCGGCGAACATCCAGCCGTGGTAGGACAGCAGCACCTTCAGGGAGTAGCGCATGGTCACGATGAGGGCCACCCACAGGCCCGTGCCGAAGAGCACGCCGCTGACCACGTTCTTGGTCTGGCTGGACATGTAGCCGCTGCGGAGACAGGGGGGAGGCCTGGAGACGGTAGCGTGGGCTGGGGGCTGCGGCCGGAGTGGCTGCCTGTGACCCCACACACGGCCAACCGACCCTCCGAGGACCCCGCGCCTCCCTTCTGGGGTGGGGGGGCAGCCATGCACTGGGGTCCTCAGAGCACACCTGGCCGGCAGGGGCCGGTGGAGACAAAGCGCAACTTCTCCAGGGTCGTGGTCGCTGACAGTGACTCCATGACAGTGTCCAGCCCAGGCCCCGGGCCCCCTCGTGGCGCCGCCGGTGCTCCTGGGCCCCCACCCCCGTCTCGTCCTGGACTGTTGCCCTTGAGCTCAGCACTGGTCCCCCAGCGCTGGCAGAACCTCAACTCACTGGCACACCCAGCACCTCCTCTGGGTCTTCAAAGCCACCAACAGTGGCGGGAGACGTGGAACACACTTCCAGAGAGCACCAGGAGGCCACGCTCGAAAGCGCCTCACCTTCAGAGAGGTCGTCACCCCATGACAAGGGCTGGCCTCCAAGGGCCCCACAGCCAGGATGTGGGAGTGCGGGGGGGGGGGCCTGACCCGCCGCTGGGGAGCGCAAGCTGGTGTGGCTGCTGGGAAGAGGCCTGGGGCTTTCCTACACACCCTGAAAACAGCCCGCAGTCCCCATTTGTGGCATCTACCAGAGAGCACGGGCTCAGAACGGGGGCGCTGCCCCCCACAGTGGTCACTGTGGCGCCATAGCCAGGCCATGGAAGCGCCTGGACGCTCACTGAGGATGAGGTGGCCGCGCCACCTCACGGGCACCACCTGGCTGTAAGGAGACGGACCCCCGTTTGCGAAAATGGAAAGAACCTGGGATGATGCCAGGACAGCCAGACAGAGGACTCTGGGTGACTTCACATAGATGGGAGGACTGAGGGGGTTGTGGGTAGTTTAGTTTTGTTTCCCTTCCAAAACCAGAATCACAGCCCCCAAAAAACTTGTGTCTGATCTAAGCAGGAATACCAGTCATGAAGGAGCGGACGTGCAAACTCTCACGTGAACATAAACCCCAAGAGAGGAGAAGTCTTCACCAGCTAAGGGGCGCGGTTCTCTTAGGCAAAGGAGAGTGGGCACGAGCCGGCGCCGGCTTTGCTTTCGGTTCCCGTCACTGGGAAAACAGCTACACACTCATAAAATAAAAACTAAACGTGCCTCAAATAGAACCACCAATAAACCTGAAAGGATCCCCAGCGTTTGGAAGCCACCAATTTCACATTTTATCAAACTTCAGTGACTCGGTAAAAATATTATGAAGGGGCCTCCCCAGTGGCCAGGGGTTGAGTCTCAGCACTATCACCCCACGGCCTGAGTTTGATCCCCGGCCAGGGAGCTGACCCACATGGCGCAGCAGACCTCTCCTGGCTGCCCGCTGCTCCCCTCGGCAGTGTATTTCATCATTCTGCCTGTTCTGTTCCCCACTCTGTCTCTGGTGCGTCCTCTCATCCCCTGCACCTCTGGCCTGCACCACAGTTATACACAAAATAAATAAAATCTTAAAAATATATATATATCTTCAAAGTACGGAGGTCTGGTGCCAAATGTGTGTTTTTCTAGAACCCGCCGTGTCTTGCTTCGGGGCGGCGTGACCTCTGGAGCTCCTTCCTGGGAGTCTCCATCCCCAAGCAAACTTGGAGTTAGGGTCCGAGAGTCTGTCTTGCACAGGGCCTGTGTTCTGCATCTCTAAGTGCTACGTGACTAAAGGAAGAGACAGACTTAATTCAGGGACACTCAGGATTTGTAACACAGATGTACATAGTTATCTTAAAAAAAAAAAAAAAAGCATTAGCTAAAAATCTTTCTTTTAAGAACTGTTTCTTCCGAGGCTGCAGAAGTGGACAACCAGCCAGCCATGCTCACCAGCAGCTGCAGAAGCAGTAGCCAGGGGATGTCTGATGCCCTGTCCGGAGGACGGTTCCAGAACATTCCATGAGCCTGGGAGACACTGGCCCTTAACCTGCTCTTTCTAAATTTGGGCCAGGGATGGCCCAGTTTACTGCCTTTGGTTTAGAAGGACAAAGAAACAAATCGTATCAACACCCAGATTATAACGGGCTTTAAATAGCCAGCCCCTCTAAACGTAATCCAGTTTAGGAGACAGCCCAGCTTGAGAGCAAATTAAAAGCCTGTGCTAAACCCACAGCGGGGGCCTCCCTGGTGGCCCAGGGGTTCAGTCTCGATATGAAGCTGTCCGCAGCCACTGCAGCACAAGTTCAATCCCCAGCCAGGGAGCTACCCACATGGCGCGGCAGACCTCTCCTGACTCGCCCGCTGCTCCCCTCAGCAGTGGATTTCAGTCAGTCTGCCTGTTCTGCTCCCCACTCTGTCTCTGATGAATCCTCTCATCCCCGCACCCCTGGCCTGCACCCCAGCTCTTGTATGCACAAATAAGTAAAACAAATCGGTAAAAAAACAACAACAAAAAAACAACCTACAATGGTTTGACCAGGAGCTGGCAACAGCACAGCCCAGGAAGTGAGGGAGCAGCTGTCTGCAGGGTGTGGGCCTGCAGCCCCTCAAGGACTAAAAAGATGGGGGGGATCGTGCAGAGGCCCCTGGGCGGCACCTGACCCTCACAGCACCCCACCCCATCCCCTGGCCACTGCTTCTGCAGCTGCTGGTGAGTGTGGCTGGCTGGTTGTCCACTTCTGCAACCTCGGAAAGCAGCACCCATCATGGGACAAAGCCTCAAGACGGGTTTCTAGTGTCCCTCCCCGCCCACCGTTCATGAGCAGCAGACTTCGGTGTGGCCAGGCGGGGGCGGGTGGGTCAGAGTGGCCAGCCCAGGGTTGGCACAGCAGTGGCCTGTGCCCCAGTCTCGGGGGAGCCTGAGCTAAGCACCTTTCAAGAAAAGCAGAGGCCCTGGCCCTTTAAATAGCCAGCCTGTGTTTATGCACACAGGTGCCTCCTGGCCAAATGTCTGGTAGAAGGTCAAGAACCTGTTTCTAAGCTCCTGGAAAGTCTGAAACCCCAGCAGAGTGTTGAGGTGCCTGCCCCGGGGGTTCTAAGTCACACACACGAAGTCAAGGGACCAAGGACTCCCCAGAGCACCCCTGGAGCTTCCTCTGCGCCAGACTCCAGAGCAGGACCCACATCCCTTACCCCTGCCGGCCAGGCCTTCCCGCGGCCCCAGCCTCGGCTGCCCTTCTGGCCCCGGGTCTTGGAGACCAGGCGGCAGGACCACAGGCCCCGTGCACCGAACACCAGAAGGGAGCAGACACACGGCAAAGCTTCAAAGGAACCAGGAGAGGAAGAGCCATTATATTTGCTAAAAAAGCCGACAGAACCAAAAGGGGCGACTCCCAGCCCACCTGCAGTCTGGAAGGGCTACTCACGTGGTGTCGAGCGTCCGGCTGATTCTTGCGATGATCCCCAGCGAGGGGTCGATCTTGGCATACATGGTTGACATCACACCCACCACCACGATGAGCCAGCTGGAGGGGCTGGCCGGGTACACGCCAGTGATGATGCCATTCTGCAAGCAGATGGGCCGTGAGTGACACCCCAGGACACACGCCGTCCCCGGTGGCTACCTGCCCCCACCTCCGGTGCCTGTCCTCCCGAGTCTGGGCCAGTGTCCTCCTCTGATCGGCCTCTGAGTGACCCCAGGACTGTGTGTGACGCCCAGACTCCCAGCATCACTGGGAGACCCCACCCCAACACCATCCTCCCACTGTCCCTGGATCAAGACCCCAGTGAACCCCACAGTATTGGCAGGAGACCTCACTCCGCATCTAGGATTTACTGGAAAACACTCCAGTCAAGGAAAATCTCCAGAAGGTAGCAGACAAGGGGGGCACGTGAAACACGGCTGGCAAGATACCCACAGCTGTGGTGACCAGGCCCGAGCAGTTGACCCTAATGGGCAGACACCCCAAAGACGCAGGAGAAGGGCTTAAAAAGAGGGATATTCTAGGGAGTAAAAAAATGCTACAGCAGATGGATAAAACAGAGGACGGCAGATGAAGTGTCTCTCTGGCTCCCTGTCCTCCCCTGGGGCTGACAGCCCGGAAGGGAAGCTCTTGGTCAGCCAGGCGGACCCTGCCCTGTTTACCCGCCAGCCTCGCCTCCTGGCTGGACAGCATGACCTTTAAGATCCATGAGTGACATGACCTCTGGTGGGCCCGATGGCCACCCTGGGCACCCAGCCCCTATCTCCCCAGACACCGGGGGGAGGGGGCAGCGGGGGGCGAGAAGGGGCCAGCCCTCCGCCAGGCCAGGCCAGGCCAGGCGGCCAGTCGCGCTTCCCCTGAAGATGGTGCCCTCTTCCACCTTGCTGCGGACGCCCCGGGGGAAAGGCAGGAGATGTGGCCCCACTGTTTCTGGAACCCCGGGCCCTGGGACAGACCAGAGGCAGCCATCCAGGCAGGCTGGCTCCCAGGGGCGTGCCCACCACTCTCCGCCCCTGGGCTTCCCAAAGGCCTCCTCTGGCCGGTGCAGCGCCAGGCGGCCTGCGGGGAGCTGGCGCCCTCGCCTCCCACCCCACCCACTCTCTTTTGAAAAAACAAAACAATTTAGAAACAAGATTAGAAAGCGCGAGTAAATGTCCACTCTTCCAGCTACCCGGATTCGAGAGAACCTGGGAGACTAAGTGGACCTGAATTTAGGGGCCAACTTTTCAACCTTGGGCTGTTTTATCAAGAAACCGGTCAGATTCACGGCTGCAGAGCGGGAAGCAATCCTCTTCCCGGGGGTGTCAAGGGGGTGCCGGCTCCAGGCTGCTTCTACGGACCCCTACTTCCCCCTGTTCTCCAGGGGCCCCCGGCCCCCCCCCTCAGAACGCCCAGAGCCCGGTGAGCCAGCTTGTCCCGCGCCGAGGCCGGGGGCCGGGGGCGCCAGAACCCCGGAGGAAAGTGAGTGCCGCGCGCGTCTGGACAAACATCTGAAACCTTGAATCTGATGAACTTCTTTTTCCAGGAGTGAAGCCCAGACAGATAGATCTGTTTCAGGGCCTCGTGGCTCAGGCGCAGGTCGATGCCATCTGGGGTGACGGTGAACTGGAAGGCCACGGCCTGGTGAGCTTCTGCCATCTTGCCCAAGCTTCTGGAAAGAGAAGGGGTGAAGCGGTGAGGGCGCCTTAGGAGGCCCCAAGGGAGCCCCGTCTGCTTGTACCTCCACCCTCCCACCCCGTTTAGCGATGTTTTGCATCAAGAGTCAATTCTGAGGCCCCTGTCGCCCCTCCCCCATGGCCCAGCTGACCACAGCCACTGCAGGGAGTCCAGGGGTGACTGGCAGACGCCAGGCCCCTGGGGTTCCCACCCGCTGGGCTCCAGGCTCCAGGTCTGTGGAGACGCTCAAACCCAGCCCGAGCTCCAGACCCCAGACCTCTGAAAGCACCCCAGCGCCCACCTCCCGGGCCCTGGGACTTCACCCAGTCCCAGGCCTCCAGGCTCAGGCCCCAGCGCCACAGAACCCCCAAACGTCCCTGACCATCCCAGCAGAGCCAGGGCTCACCAGCGCCCACCCACGCCCGCTGACGCAGGAAACCGCCGGCCCACGGGCCCATCCCTCACCAGCCCCAGGAGAAGGCACAATGGATACGGGGCACGGGGTCCCCGCTTGGCCCTGCACCTGAAGCCGGACTAGACATGGCCCCTGGCAGGAGCGCAGGGGCTGGGCCTCTCACCCCAACCGGCAGCCCCTCGGCCAGTGCTGCCATCTCTCCCGGGCTCCCTCCCTCCGCCTTCCCTGGGTGAGGGATGCCCCAGCCCTTCCACTGTGTGTGCCCCAGGGCCTGCACCATCAAAAGGAAGCTACCAGAGGGACCAAAAGCCTGTGTTTGTTGTTCCCACAGCTGCTTTTCTTGTTTTCTCCCCTGTGAGCCTACTGAGCGCCTGCCCCAGGCCCACGTCAACGGGTGACAAGGTTTCACAGACACGATGGAAAGTCAAACTGGCTTGGCCTTGAGCTCACAGAACAAAGCACCCAACCCTCACCCGTCAGTTCATTCAGCACACACTTGTTGGCTGACCCCGGGGTGTCAGCCTCAGGAGCGGGCGCCACAGTCAGAAGGGGACTCGGAAAGGAAAGCGGGTGACAGAGGGGCCTCCCAGGTGACGTGGGAGCCCAGGAGGAGGCTCAAAGGCAGAGCTGGGCAAGGACTGAAGGTCAAGGGCAGGACGGCTGGGGTCAGGGCTGGGCGCTGGGGTCAGGGTGGGCAGCTACCTCCAGAGGGAGGTGTGAGGCAGCTGCGTGTGAGCCGAGGGCGGGGGACGCGCGCCAGGGCTTTCAGCAGGGGACCTGCCACTGTCACCCTCTCTGCTCTGAAGGCTTCAGCTCTAAAGACTGCTCGGGCCTGGGCATGGGGCAGGCCCAGTCAGAAGCCCAGTCCCTGGGAGGGAGCACGAAGGACAGGTGACAGCTTCAATCCCAGCCTGGGGCCCGTTGGGGAGGGGCAGGCTGGGGCCTGCACAGGAGCAGGGCGAGCACCTGCCACATTTGATGGGGAAGTGGGGGGAGGGGCTGGGGAGCACGGAGTGTCAGCACCGGGGAGGTCGATTGGGAGGGCTGCGGGCTGCGGAAGAGAAGCACGTGTCAGCCAAACATATTCCCCGGCAGAGCCCCCAGACACCCACCTACGAGCGCGCAGGCACAGGCAACACCCAGGTCCGGCCAGTTTTGAACAACCAGATGGCACCTGCACACGATCTCCAAGCAAACACTTGCTGCTGGTAAATTTAGAACGCGGAAGAGACTCCCCAAACCAACAGCTCTGTGTGCATTTCTCAAAAATCTGCACAAGTGGCTCTAAACTCTCCCAGCGCTCCAGGTTAATCCCCCCTCGGCCATCACAGCTGTCACAGTGGACACAGGCAGGCACCCAGCGCGCGTCCTGACAACCAGCTGATCGCTTCTTCCGCTGCTTTGTAAGTTCTCCAGAGGAAACCCGGACGCGGAAGGGGGATCTAATGCACCCTTGCAGCCGATTCTGTCCAAAAAGGTGTGTGTGCAGTTTTGCTCGGAGCTCTAAGCTCTCCTGGGAGACAGGACAGGGACTGAGTGTCCTTCCCAGGCCCGAAGAGCCTGGGAATAAATAAAGTGGGGACCAGACACACGGTGGGTTATGCACCCATAAAAGTATGGCGCCGAGGACACAGGCATGAACTCTGAAAGGACAGGAGCCAGACACAGAAGACCCCGGGTGGATTGTCCAGGACATGCAAATCGCAGGCACGGGGAGCAGGCTGGCGGTCTTGGGGGGTCGGAGAGGGACAGGCGAGGGGGATGGGCGGTGGCTAAGGGGAGGGGACTTCAAGTGACAGGAGCCTCGCCACGCTGCCTGGAGCCGGCTGCACGGGTGTCAGTCTCCTGACCTCCTGTGACGTGTGTCCTGACACTGCAGTACAGCTGTTAGGGAAGAACCGTTGCCTCTGGAGCCGGGGCACTGTCTCCTGAACTTGCGGGCACCGAAAGCTCCTCCTCAAAGACACAAGCAGGTGGGCAGGAGGCGTGTCCTCCGCCTCCCCAACGCACCTCTGCCCTGGTGCCCGGCCCACCCAGGGCTCCTTTGACAATGGCTGCCTCTCGGCGTCAGGAATGACTGTCCATGACTGTCTGCAGTTGTCAAATGTCACAGGTGGTATTTTTAGGAGACGCTAGTTCTCGTCTCTACGCAGGGAAACACTGCGCTGGAGCCCCGAGCTGCCAGGACGGAGTGACAGGGCACTCGGGCCCCCAGAGAAGGGCCCTTGGGGGCTGTTCTTGAAGGAGGGAGAGGCCAGCCCTGCCCTGCGCCCCTCCACGGGCTCCGCTAACCCGCCCTCAGAAAAAGACCAAGGTCAGAGTAAGATACCGCGGTGAGAATAGTGACCTGCTTATGAGCCTCCCTGGTGGCGCGGGGCGACATCTCAGCACCACGAAGCTATCGGCAGCCACTGCGGCCTGAGTTCGATCCCCCGCCAGGGAGCTGACCCGCAGGGTGCAGCAGACCTCTCCTGTCTCCCCGCTGCTCCTCTCAGCAGTGGATTTCAGAGGTGCCGCCTATTCTGCTCCCCGGTCTGTCTCTAGTGAATCCTCTCACCCCCCACCCCCACCTCTGCACCTCTGGCCTGCACCCCAGTTCTTGTATGCATAAATAATATATCTTTTTTAAAAATTCCCATCTCTGCCTGTGGGTTTTAGGGATTCGCCTCCTGGCCTCTTATGCTGCTGGTCGAGCCAGCTCCATGGCTCACCTAGGCTGAGCCCCCAACTGTGCCCAGGGCCTGCCCCCACAGTGGGGTGTCTCCTGCTCTTTTCTCATTTCCTCCTTCTTCCCTCCACGCCCCCTCCCACCAGGGCGCCTTCCAGTCCATTCTGGAAACACGGATCCTCAGGACCCTCCAGAGGCTCCACCTGCCCTCAGTCACTCCCTTCCTCTCTGGACACAACTGCCAGCCCCCCAGGACATGGACCCTCGCTCGTTTACGTCTCCAAACCCAGGCCCGGGCCCAGACAGCTCTCCCAACGCTCACTGTCCAATGGACAATTTGGGGACAATTCCCCGCCAAAAATGTCCTCCATCAAGAAGCGGCCCTGTCCTGTTTTTCAGGCATGTCCACCACCTCGCCCTCCTCGTCCACACTCAATTCCTTTTAGCAAAAATCCTCCCACCTTGGAAGTCAGCAGCTGGTCACCGCCAGGCAAGGAGACCTGTGCAGCCAAGTCCTGCTTCCCGGGGACAGCCTGGGGCTGCTCCCTCACCGAGGCCCCCCCCACCGGTTCCGCCCACCGAGGGGGGCAGGCAAGAGGCTAAGGAAAGGAGGTGAAAGGGCACAGCCAAGCCACCTACCCCAGTTCTGGCATGCCTGGGGAACTGCAGTGAGGAAATCACCTCCCTGATGTGAAATAATGAACCTACCCATAAGACAGTGACTTCCATGAAAACATTCTTTCCAGCAAGGGAAACTAACTGTTGTCAGAGGCTTTCGACATAGCATAGCTTGCAACACCCAGATAAGGAGAGAGGTGGTGGCCTGAGGGCAGAGCAGGTGGGGGGTGGGGAATGTGGGCGAGGGGGGTGGGCTCACAAAGCCTCATCTGTGCTTTCCGCCAGGAAGACACAAACACTCCTTCCGCCAAATCCTTTGGCACACGCTGGACAACGTGGCCTGTATTTTACATGCATGAACCCATTTCACTTCCATGTGATCCCGGGACGTGGGTCCGATCGCCACCCCACTTCACCCTCATTTTCCCCATTTTCTACTGAGAAGATAGGGCTTGTACAGGCTGCGTCCCAAGGTCACGGCCAGCAAGCTGCACAGCGGGGACTCAGACCAGGGTCCAGCTTGGAAAACTCAAGTCCGCATCTGCCCAGGTCAGTGGTAAGGACTCCAGGAAAAGTTCAACTTAAGGGCCTCCCCTGGTGGCGCGGCGGTTGAGCGCTGGGCTGCGAAGCTGCCTGCAGCCTCTGCAGCGCCAGTTCGATCCCCGGCTGCTGGTGAGGGTCCCACCTGGTGCCCAGACCTCTCCTGCCGCGCCCGCTGCTCCCCTCAGCAGTGTCCTTCGGTCCTTCTGCCTGCTCTGCTCCCCGCTCTGGCTCTGGTGAATCCTCTCGCCCTCCCGCGCTTCTCACTGTACCCAGTGCTTGTATAAATAAATAAATATAAATCTTTAAAAAAAAAAAAGTTCGACTTAAGATTCCAAAAATCACAACGCAGAAAAAGACGTCACTCTGGTGTAAGCGAAATGATGTGGGGCCACGGTGACTGCAGACAGGACGGGCGCCGGCCCCATGGTCCCCGAGGCTCCCTCCACCGCACCCCCCATGCACTTGGGACCCGGACTGGACTCCTCGGAGGAAGGGTCACCCACGGGACGTGGGGCTTCGCCCGGCTGCACCGGCGGGGCTACCAGCACAGCAGCAGCCTTCCCCAGGAGCCGCCACTGCAACACCGCCAGGGAGGCCGATTCTGCCCCCAGGACCGGCTCCCGTCCGCATGCCCAGAGCCCAACTCACACCTGGGCGGCCGCCCCACCAAGTGCTTCAGTCCAGCATGTCAAGGCCAGCCCCAGGAAGGTTCTGGAAGGGCAGCGGAGCCTGGGGGTTTCCCCCAAGACTGGCACATGCACTGGGTTGCTCCTTGCTCTCCAGGACCTAGTGTTCTGCTGTGACAGTGATGCTTAAGAGAGCAGCGGAGTGTGGGCAGACACGAGCAGAAACACGAAGGAAAACCAACAGGCCTTCTCCACATCAGGGCAGACCCCTGCGCCAGGGCCCCCTCAGGTGGCGGGGGCCTCTGGCTTGGCCCTCTGCTGCTCGCTCCTAGGTGTTCACACAAACACCGGTTCTCTCCCTCAAGCTGATGGACGCAAAAATGTGAGGCTCAAAGCTCACTTTGCATCCCCAGAGGGCGTCCCGCGCAGCCCAGGCTCACTCAAGAGAGGCCGCCTCCTGGGCCCCGCGCCCAGCTGGCTCAGGTGCACGTCTGCAGCGGGTGGGCCCGACGACACCGCACACGGACGGGGGGACTGGCCGCGTCGGGCCAGGTTCTCAAGGGAACTCTGAGTCACGCTTTTTCCTGCTCCTTTCAAAAAAGCAACACAGCTTCCACCTCCGGAGGTGCCATAAACATAAAGCGAGTTCAGCTCTAGGGTGCCCACATCACCAAGTCAGCGCTGGTCGAGCAGATAAACACCGGGAAGCGGCGCTGCCAAGAGGAGCGGGCCGGGCCGTCGCGGGTTGCAGCTCCATGCGCCAGCGCGGGGTCGGGCAGCCCCGGCCTCTGCCTCTCAGCACGCAGACCCCTAACGACCCGCACTGGGGAGAGCCTGCCCTTTCGGGGGATCTCCCTGAAACCACGGGCAGGTCGCCCTGCGTCTCCCTGGTTGGGTCCTTCCCTTTGCACCTGGAAGCCAGACTGAACTTACCAGCCACACTTGGGGACGCCACACGCAGCCCCAAACCCCGCTCACGGTGCGGGATCCTGTCATACCCCCAAATCCCCTTTCACATCTGGCCTCTTAACTGGATCAAACCCCCACGACGCAGGACGCTCATCAGAGGCAGCATTTCACAGACGAGGACAGGGAGGCCCAGACGTGGGCCGGGGCGGCGCGGACCCCGCAGCCTGAGCGCAGGCCCTGGAGCACACAGGGCTGGGTTCAAATTCAAACTGCAGTTCTGCCCCGTACTCAGTGCGGGGACCAGGGCCAGGCGCAGGCCTCTAAGCGGCAAGTGGCAGCGCTGGGCCGGCACAGCCCCAGCCCCAGCCCAGCCACGGGGCTAGCGCCCGACCCCTCGTCGGCTTTTACCAAGCGGGTGCTTCTTCCAAGGCGGCCTCAAGAACCGCGGGTGCTGTCCTCCCCGGAGCACCCAAAGCAGAGCTGTGAGTGCTTCCTAGCGCTCCTCAGGGCGCCTCACGCAGGCCACAGGGGTGTTGAAAAAAGGACACACCCAAACTCTACACATCAGATCTGACGGGAGATGCCGACACTTGAAAAACGTCCAGTTTATGATTTACAAGTGAATTATGCCATAAAAAGCAAAGTTTGATTGAAGCACTTGAGTCCCTACCAGCAAGGTCACCTCAGGTTTGGGTTTTTGTGCAAAACAGAGTGCTTTTTTAAACGTGGGGAAATTCTGGTACGAGGACTGGATTGACGGCCGAGCTTGACCCCTCAGAAGCCCAAAGGCCCTGCCCTCACCAGCTGGCTCCCAGCAGGCTCCCAGCAGGGCATCATGACTCCCCCAGAGGACGCGGGGACACGAGATCACACCACACGTGCTGGATGCGGGGTGGGGGGATCAGGAGCCGTGGGGCCGGAGGAGCAGCAGCCCTGACCCCCGCGTGGGGAGGGACTCGGCTGAACACAGGGCAGGTGGACATGGAAAGGGGCCCAAAGCTGGCTTCCCCGGTGAACACCCGCGCTCCCCGGGCCCCTGTCCCCCAGGTCAGGGGCCCTCGGCCATCTGGGGGAAAGGTGCTGCAGACACACTGCCCTTCCTGCCAATGTCCCAACGCCCGCTCTGCTCAGGGACTGGGGAGAAGATGACCTCAGGGCTGCTTAGGACGCAGGAACAGGTGCAGCTGGGGTCACGGGCGGGGAGCGGGGGAGGCCCTGCTCGCTGGATCGGGTGGAAGACTGAAGTGCCCAGAGCCCGCACCCCCTCAGGAGTACGGAGGCCGGTTTGCTCTTTACCTAAAGAACTCGGGGCCCCACCGTTAGCCGCTGACCCTCAGGAAGCACGGCCACCCTGCGTCCCAACCTTCCACGGTGGCAAATGACCCCACTGGACGGCCCGCAGGGGACACTCACTGAGCAGCCGTCTTCAATTATTAACTTGCAGACACAGTCCCAGACATAAAAACCCGCCGCGCAGAGGTGGAGGCGAGGTGGACATTCCGCAGCGCCAAGGCGCCGGCCGTCACCTTGCCCCAGAGGTCAGGCTGGCCCGGCTGGGCCTGCTGGGAGCCAGGGTCCACCGCTACTTGCACCAGGTAAAGGGTGAAATCGACAAAGTTCACCCAATATTTACTTAGGGTGAAAGGTGAAGTTCAGGAGCCGCAACAAAATATCAGACAGAGAAGAAAGTGTTCTTTACTGGGGTGAAGTAACAGATGAAACAGCGGGGCTCCTGGACCCCACACGGGAGGCCAAGCGGACCCGGAGCCCCCCCCCCCCCCCCCCCGCGGCTTCTCCGTGTTGCACGTGCGCGTGTCACTTAAAAGTGCTTCGTCCCCGGCCTCCCTGGTGGCTGCAAGGGGTTGAGCGCCGCACTATGACGCTGGCCGCAGCCTCTGCAGCGCGAGTTCGAGCCCCGGCCAGGGAGCTACCCACATGGCGCGGCAGACCCCTCCGGTCTCCCCGCTGCTCCCCTCCCCCCCGCAGTGTCCTTCAGTGGCTCCACCTGTTCTGCTCCCCACTCTGTCTCCGGTGGATCCTCTCACCCCCTCTCTGGCCTGTACCCCAGCTCTTGTTTGCATAAATAAATAGAAAAATAGAAAAAAATAGAAAATAAATGAAAGCGCATCGTCCCAACAGAAAGTGCTCGCAGAAAAAGCCCAGGACAGCGGAGCGCGAGGTCACGCCGCGGCAGGCCCGGGGCGCACCGGTTCTCGCGGGGCTCCAGCGCCCCGCGGGCGGCCCGTCCTCGGGGGTGACTGGACATTTTTCCCAGCAAGGAGCAAGCGCGGCGGGCAAGGTGCAGCGCCCGCGCCGCGCGCCCAGGGGCGCCCCCGCCCGCTCCCTGCGCGCCGGAACGCGCCCCGCCCGCCCCCCGCGCCCCGCCCGCCCCCCGCGCCCCGCCCGCGCGGCCACGTGACGGCCGCGGAAAGTAGGGGAAAGGTCGGCGGGCCCCGCCCCCGCGGCGCTCCGGGCCGGATCCTGTTCCGCCGGCCGGGCCCGGGCCCTTCCGGAGCGCGCGCCCACCCCCGCCGGCCCGGCCCGGCCCGGCCCCCGCCCGGGGGCTCCGCGCCCGGCCCGCGGGCGGCGGCGCGAGGGGCGCGCGGCCGGGGGTGCGTCCGCGGACCGGGGCGGGCGGGCGCGCCGGAGCGCAGCCCCTCGGCGGGGGCGCGGGGCCCGCTGCGCGGGGAGGGCCTGTGCGCCCCGGCCGCCCCCCCTCCGCGCGCGCGCCCGGGCGCGGCCCCCCCGCCCCGCCCCGCCCCGCCCCGCCCCGCGGCCCGCCCGGGGGAGCCCCGCGCGCGGGGTCGGGTCCCGCGGCCGCAGGGAGGAAACCGCCGCTCACACGCGGAGAGGGGCCCCGGGGCGCAGCCGCCCAGCACCCCCGGGCCGGGACGCGCCCCCGCGCCCCCAGCACCCGCGCCCCCCCGGCATCCGCGCGCCGTGTCCCGGCCCGGCCGGACCCCGGCTTCGACGGCGCGGGCGGGGGGCGCTGGCGGGCGTCCACGAAGGACCAGCCGGTTCGGCCATTTTTTATTCTTTTGGACGCGGCTCAGGAGGAAATACACGCGCCTGAATATCTGGAATGACCAGAAACCGGACGCCGGCGCCAGAAGCGCCGTAACCGGACCCTGCGCCGGAGGCCGCCGCGACGGCCGGCGCGCGCGCGAAGCCCCCGGCCCCGCAGCCCCCCGCTTCGTTCCTGGGGAGTCTTCACCCCGTTTGCCAAGCTCAGCCCCTCTTTGTTTATTTATGTCCTTGGGCGTTCGCGAAAGTCGACCCCGATTTGCATGATGAAGACGCGGCCCCGAGGCCGGGCGCGAGGCCGGGCGCGAGGCCGCTGGGCCGCCCGGACCGCGCCGTCGGGGCCAAGTTCACCGGCCGGGCCACGTGACGCCCCCCGCCCCCCCCGCCGGCCGCGACCTTGGCCGGACTCCGCGCCCACCTGCCCTTGACCTCGCGCCGCGCCGGGGAGGAGGCGCGCGCCCCGGGGACCTGCCCCCCCCGCCGCCCCGCAGGGCTCGCGGCGCCCCGTCCCCGCGCCAAGGGCGGGTCCGGGCGGCTGCGCTGCGGGGGCGGGCGCGGGCCGGGGAGCCACCGCGCTCCGCGGCGCCGCTGGGGCCCGGGGTCCGGAGGGCTCGCTCCTGGGGCCGGCCCGCGCCCCTGGGGCGCCCCCAGACTCGATTCGCCGCCGGAGGGCAAGGGAGGAGAGGGGTCGGGGTCGGCGGGGGCCTCCCGCGCCCAGGGCCGAGCAGCTGCCCCGCAGCCGCGCGGGGCGCGCGCTCCGGGAGTGGGTGGGACCGGGGGCGAGGGGAGCCGGCGGCCCCGCGGCCAGGCCGGAGAGCCCGGGAGGCCGGGCATCCTGCGGGGACGCGCCGGGATGCTCGAGCCGGCCCCAGTCGCCGTGTGTCCCGGGCGCGGGGTGGCCCGGGCGGCAGGGAAGGGCTTGGCAGCCCCACCGGCCGCGGCCGGAGAGCTCCCGGGGGCCCCGCCGGCTGAGCATCCTCCCGCGGCCGCCGGGACTCCCCGCGCGCGGGCCGGTCTCCTCGGCCCCGCGCCCCAGACCCGATCCGCTGCCGGGGGGGGGCGGCCCGCGCCCCCCCGGTGCCCGGTGTCTGGGAGCCTGCAGCTGGGGATCCCGGGGTCTCCTCGGGCGCCCGGTTCCGGCGGCGGCCCCTGCCTCGGTCCGGACCCGCCATCCCCGCGCCCCCCCCGACTCCGCCGCAGCCCGCAGGGCGGTGCCCGTCCGCCCGCCCCGCGGCGCGCGGCCTCGGCGGCCTTACCGGGCGGCGATCGGCGGCGGGAGCGGAGCCGGCCGCGAGCGGCGCCGGGCGGAGGGCGGGCGAGGCCGGGTGCACCGACGCGGGCCGCCGCGGATTGGCTCTGCGCGCCCGGCTGCGGCGGGCCCGGCTCGGCCGGCGTGGGCGGAACCCGGACGGGGCGGGGCGGGGCGGGGCCTCGGCGGGCGCCCGGGGAGCGCGCCGGGTGGGGAAACTGAGGCTGGCGCCGCGCGCGCGCCTCGGCGTTTACCGGGACGGGGCCGGGCGCGCGAGTCCTCGCCCCGGGCGCCTCCGGCCGCTCGTCTGGACAGGGGGCCGCCCGGGAGGGCCTGCGGGGGAGCCGCGCGGGGCCTGCCCGGCGCTCGCGCGCACTCGCCCCCGGGTCGCCCCGCACAGCAGCCCGTCGGCCGCCCCGGGCCGTGCCCCCGAGCGGCAGCGGAGGAGGCGCGGCGGCCGCCAGCGAAGGGGGTTCAGCCGCCTCCGCCCCGACGGGTTACGACGCCCCCCGGCGGCGCCTGGGCGAGGTTCAGAGGGACCGGAGGAGACGCGGCTGGAGCGGGGACGGGGCCACGCGGGAGCTTTGCGTGGGCTCCCGGGCGCGGGAGGGGCCGGGTGGGCATTTCGGCCGGTCCCGAAGGTCCAGGCGGAGGCCCGGGGGCTCCCGCAAGCAGCAGGTGCCGCGCGGGCTCGTCCGCTGTGTGAGCGCAGACGGGACCCCGCGACGGGCCCCCGGGGTGCCCGCTGGGAGTGGGGGGCCGCGCGCGCCCCGCAGGGCGGGCTCAGAAGAGAAAACGAAAGTCGCCCGCAGGGCCCGCCCCCAGCAACTGCCGCGGAGCGGGCCGGGCGCGCGGTCCCGGGCGCGCCCCTCGCCGGGCCTGCGCTGGCCGGGGCCGGCGGTCCACGGGCCCTGCGGCGGCTCCGCATCTGCTCTGACGCGGGCTGCCCGCCCCCGCCCCTCCCCCAATTCTTGCCCCCCCCCCACCCCGCGGCGGCTGGTGTGAATCCGGCCGTGTTGGCGGTGGACGTGCCTGGGAGGCCTTGGAAGTGCGAGCAGGGCCGGAGGGCGGCATCTGGGGGCGGGCGGCACCGGCCTCTGGTCCGGCCCCCCCGCGGGGCGCTGCGGTGCCCACCCACACCCGCCGCCCGGCCCGGCCCGCGGTGCTGTGTCCCTCCGGGCGCCCCATCTGGCCCCTCGGAAAAGGGATGGAGGAGTCGCTCCTCACTCTGTTTTTATTTTATTCTCATTTCTGTGAGGTCGAGATTTCCTTCTGGCCCAGCCCACACGCTGTCCCAGACCCCTGACCCCGCAGATGCCGAGGTCCGGGAAGCAGGGGGGCTCCCCGGAGCCGCGCCGCTCGGGGGGACGCGCACCCCTCTCTTCACGAGCCTTCCCGGCTTGTGCCTGGGAAGGGGAACAGTCGCCCTCACCTCAGATGCCCTCCCCGCCCTCCCCTGAACCCCGGCGTGCTGCAGGTCGGGCCCCAAGGTCACGCTCGGCCCGCTCGGCGCGGCCCGGGGTGAGTGCCCGGCGGGATGGGCCCCGCGCCCCGCGCGTTCCCAGGCTCCGCGGCCTGGACCCCGCTCCCTCCCCCGGGGCCGCCCGCGGGCTGCGCGGGGGCTGGGCGCGGGCGGGAGGAGCCCCGGGGCGGCTCACCTGTGCGGGGGCGGCCGGCTCGGCTCGCGGGCGGTGGAAACCAGGCCAGGCCCGCCGGCCACCCCGGCTCCCCACCGCGGCCTCGGTCCCCTCCCGCGCGTCTCCGGGGCGCTGCTCCCCGAGCCTGCGCCCCGCCCGCCTGCCCGGCTATTAATAAAGAGTCAAGGAAGCAGGCCCCTGGGGAGCTGCGGGCCTGGCCCACCCTAATTGCCTTGGGGCCAAAAGTATCCCAGAATCTGCCCCAGAAACTAGAATAATCTTTCCCAAGCTCTGGTTTTTCCGAATCTTTCCCCAGTTTGAATTTCACATCCCTGTTGCCTGTTGCGGCTTTACAGAAAACATGTTTTAAAATGCGTGTCTTGTTTTTATCATCACTAAGAATTATTTTAACTCTGAAAATACCTTTTTGTGGGGAAAAAAAACCAGCCACATAACAGTTGAGAACAGCACCATGAAGCCCTGTGTAGCCAAAACTCCAGCTCGGAGATTCAGCTGGAGCCAGATCCTTGGTCTCTGCCGGCCCCCAACCCCCCACTGCTGGTTTCTTCAAAGCAAACCAGAAATGCCAGCATTTTGTCCACATGTTCTTGAGTCCGAATCTCTCAAAGGTAAGGACTCTCTTTCTAAAGGCGCGCTGCGTCGCCACCGTCCACCTAAGGTAAAGGACACTTGCGGCCTGCGTTGGCCGGCAGCACGCAGTCTGCGGCTCTTGCTTGCCAGCCGCCCGCCCGCCACATTTCCCGTTGGCAGCTCCCAGCAGGTTCTGATCCAAAAGTGTGAGCTTTTTTGGAACTCACTGGTGTTTCCCATGGGGGCCGGGTCACCTTGGCCTCCTGCGCTGGCCTCTCCCTCTGATCTTGATCCTTGCGCCCCTGCGGGCGCTGGCGGGTGGCAGTCCCACGCGTGGGGGTGGTATTTGCTGGGTCCGCCCCACCGGGTGTTGCACACAAAATGAAGCGGGGGAAGCCAGCGCAGAGCCAGCCGGAGCGGGCGCCCAGCGGGACTGTGGCCAGCGAGCCCTTCGCCCCAGTGACCCTGGCCCCACAGGCCCGTCGTCCTTGTCCTCTGTCCCGGCGAGCACCCCAGAGCAATGAGCGCGCACCAGCTCACAGGCGCAGGAGGGTGTTTCCAGAAGGTTCCCTCCAGGTGCCGAGACCCAGAAATAATCTGAAGGCCCATGGAGGGCAGTGCAGACAGGCTGCCGCGGTTCCGCCGTCCCAGGGAGGAGCGGCAGCGGGAGAAAGAACAGACCGTGGCCCTGCTCGGAGGCGCATGCAGGGCATCTGGGTGCAACAGCATAGGTGACGGGTTTTGGCAGAGCAATGCCCACGGGGCCGGGAGAGCTGCATGGGCTCTGTGCTCCTTGCCACCTGCCTGCTGCGGGGGCGGGGAGCTGGCCCCTTCCGCTCTAGATTCCTCCTGGTGATCAGTGATCAAGTTAAGCTCAGCCGGATGAATCGGGAAACCTTCCTTACAGACAGGAAATCTATGCAGCCACGAAGATGCTGAAAGTAGCGAGGCTCAGTGGGGGTGTGCATGTGGGGAAACTAATGCACAGAAACCCTCTTAAATGAAGCTGGAAGACACTGTCCTCCACGTGCAAACCCCAGACCCCCCCCCCCACCCCAAGCCCGGCTCTCCGATCGGGGAGTGATACTGCCTCCCCCACCACCGGCACCAGCAGAGGGAAGAGGCCCCAGCAGCCCCTCCTTGGGCTACTTAAGGGGGTGCTGACTTGATTAGGGTGACGGCCATGCGCGTCGCCTGGGGATGCCTCACCAGCTGGCCTTTTCCGGTTGTTCCCATTAGACCCACTTCGCTGGTGGAATCACGGAGGCCTTTTGTTTGATGCCAACATAGGTCTTCCTGGCCTGAGGAGGGGCGGGCAGAGACCTGGGCTTGGAGGGAAGGAAGATAACTCACAGGAAGATGCCACCGCCGTGTGTTTGCAGGCCCCGCTGAAGACAACCGGGAAGAAAGGAATTTGAACAAACAGCTTTTGCTGCTTCCCCTGGGCCCGCCACACCGAGTTCACATCCAGGGGCACGAGCCCCTTGAGAGCTCCAGAGCAGACCTGCCTCACCCTGTCTCACCCCTGGGTGGGGGCTAAAAGCTCGATGTGAGTCTCATTCAGCCTAAAACAATCCACTTGCCCAAGTGGTGCGTTTCACCTTGTGGGGGGGCCTCCACCACCTCTTCACTGTGATGATTATTTTCTCTCTAGGGGCCCATGTTTTAACAGCTGTTGTCTGTAGACAGTAACAGTTCATGGAAAACAACTTATTTCTTCGTTTATTAATCACAAACCCGTGCACGATTGCACGCGGAAACTTAAGATCTGTACGAGGTGCGTTCAATCCTTCAGGCTGCTCCCCAAGCCCAGCCCCCCGCATTTAATATCCAACTGGCAGCACACTGACTGCTGAGAGCCGCTGTGCCGCCAGCAAAAGGCAGAAAGCTGCGTTCTCATCTGCGCGGGGCCATTGCAGAGACACGCGCCATGTCTTCAAGGCTTCTTGGAAAGGCCCGAATCACCCAAGACCACTGTATCCCCTCCTCCAATCTCAGTCGTGTCTGAAGCCCCCAGCAGCCCAGCCCCCCTGGAGAGGGTGCGCCCTGGCCGGGCCTGAGCTTCCAGGCGGGCCCAGCACCATTGGGACAGGCCGGCAGCCATGCGGGCACGCCTGGACACGGGCCTCGTGGAGGGCAGAGGCACTCGGTGAGTAACAGAAATCCAACTGAGTTTTGTGCTTTATTTTCTGCTGTTTCTACGATCACTAAACTGCTGTGTGGTCACAACAAATTTCCTTTGAGTTCCTTTAAAAAAAAAATTAAAACACCCATCAGCATCCCTTGTTCCCCCTTCCAACCTACTCCCACCCCACGCCTCACCCCTGCTTACCCATTTCTAACCGAGTTAATTTAATTTAATTTTTAAATTTTATTTATTTTATTTTATTTTTTCCGAGTTAATTTTAAAGATTGAGTTGACTTTATTCAAGGGTCCATGAATGGGCGTCATCGCCAAGGAGAAAGGCAGGAAGTCATAGAAAATGGAAGGTTGTTTTTTTTTTTTTAAAGATTTATTTATTTAGGGCCTCCCCTCTGGCGCAGCAGTTGAGCGCTGAGCTGCGAAGCTGCCCGCAGCCTCTGCATTGGGGGACCACCAGCGAAGGTCCCACATGGTGCGCAGACCTCTCCTGCCGCCCGCTGCTCCCCTCAGCAGTGTCCTTCGGTCCTTCTGCCTGTTCTGCTCCCCACTCTGGTTCTGGTGAATCCTCTCACCCTCCCGCGCTTCTGACTGTACCCAGTGCTTATATAAATAGATAAATAAATCTTAAAAAAAAGATTTGTTTATTTATGCATACAAGAACTGGGGTACAGGCCAGAGGTGTGGAGGGTGAGAGGATTCACCAGAGCCAGAGTGGGGAGCAGAACAGGCAGACTGACTGAAATGCATTGCAGAGGGGAGCAGCGAGGAGACAGGAGAGGTCCTCTGCACCCCGTGGGTCAGCTTCCTGCAGTGGCTGCGGAGAGCTTCATAGGTTGCATCTTAACCCCTTGCACCACCAGAGAGGCTCAAAATCGGAGTTTTTTAAAGTCAGAAAGAGGGTGGGTGAGGTCATTAGCTAAAGAAAAGGATGACGTCCCGCAAAGCCAAGGGAGCTCCTCAGTGGCTAGTTGAAGTTTCCACTTGGGAGAGGCCGGCAGCCCAGTAAGGCCAGGAGGTGAGTGCCCTGGGGCTTGGCATGAGTGGTACCATCTTGGACCCACTCTTTCAATCTTCATTTTTGGGGAGCGGGAATCACCCTCCTGTATCTCCTTTTAGCCCCTGGGAGCTTGGGCAGACAGTGTCTGTGCTCAGGTACACATTGGAGGAGAAGGACATGAGCTAACAGTTTCTAAACTTTGGGTTGGGGGAGTGAAGGGTCCTCTGCAAAGCTGGTGACAATGTAAAAAAAGCAAGAGTCTAAATGGAGTCGCTTGTGCTAAACCCAAGTCACCACCTCGGCACTACCAGGGACACATTGCAGGCTCACCCCTCGCCCCCGGTAATCCTGACCAGTCCCAGTGACTGGAGCAGGTGAGCTGCTCCCCTGAGGGAGACTCTTTTCCTGCTAGATAGCCCCCTGGTCACACCCTCTTTCTGAGTATAAAAACCCGCGTTTTGTGCAGCCCCCAGACCACCCCTGCTGACCGGATGGGACGCAGCACACTCAGGGAACCCTGAACAAAGTCAACTAGATGTTCATGTGCCCTTGGGTGAGCCTTGTTTTGGAGCAGCTACAAACCCTTTTCCCAGACACAACGCGCACACACACACACACACCCCACGTGCGTGCATACGCACATGCACGCACACACACACACACATGACAGCAGTAATTCAGCCGGGGATTTTCCAAGGCCTGCACACAGACCGCTGACCACATAGCTCAGGAGGAATGGCCCAGATGTCGTAAGTTGGGCAAAAAAGGCTGCCGTGAAGCCCTGTGCGTGTCTTTCCTGTTAGGTCTGGGGGAGCTTGGTCCAAGGGAGCCTTCCTCCCTCCCTCCTCCCTCCCTCCCTCCCTCCCTTCCTTCTTTATTCATACAAGCACTGGAGGGTGTCAGAAGCGCGGGAGGGTGAGAGAATTCACCAGAGCCAGAGCGGGGAGCAGAACAGGCAGACTGATGAAACACACTGCTGAGGGGAGCAGCGGGCGGCAGGAGAGGTCTGTGCACCATGCGGGACCCTCGCCAGTGGCCGGGAATCGAACCGGCGCTGCAGAGGCCGCGGGCAGCATCACAGCCCAGCGCTCGACCGCTGCGTCACCAGGGGAAGCCCGGGAGTCTTTCTTTGACCAGGCTCATATAACCGTCATTGGACCTAATATTTGCCATCCCAGATAAGTCTTTCTTTCCTGTTTGTTGGTTTTGACTTTTTTAAAAAAGATTTATTTATTTATGCATAGAAGCACTGGGGTGTAGGCCAGAGGTGTGGAGGGTGAGAGGCTTCCCTAGAGACAGAGTGGGGAGCAGAGGCAGATCTACTGAAATCGGAGCAATGGGGGGACAGGAGAGGTCTGCTGCGCCCTGTGGGTCAGCTCCCGGGCTGGGCATCGAGCTTGGCTGCAGACAGCGTCACAGTGCTGAGACGTAACCCCTTGCGCCACAAGGGAGACCCTGTTTGATGGTTTTGAAAACATAATATGGGGAGACGCGGGGCGCGATTCCAGACAGCTCCGAGAGCCACGTCTCGGTGCGGCTCTGAAGTCAGTCACTGTCCCAGGTTTCAAGCAAACAAGCCGGCGCCTGGGGGCTGGGGGCTGGGCAGGCCCTCAGGGAGGCTGGGACCTGTGTCCAGCCTCCGCCGGCACCTGTAGGTTTTCTTGAGATGTGTCAAATCTGGCAGGGTCAAGGACAGCGCCAGGGTGGCTGGGAGGGACCATGTGTACTTGGGGAACTGCGTCTTGACAGGTGGCCTGCAGGTGCCTGAAAAAACTCTTAAGCCTGTGTTGCGCTCGTGCTGCATAGCGGCCGCCGCGGGGCTCCTCTGGGTCGGCACTGGCCCTTCGAAGCTCACCAACAAGCAGGGCACCTGCCAGCCCCATCCTTGGGGATTTCACTGCTGCCCCAGCCCCCTCCCGGGAACCCTCTCCTCGTGTGACCTGGGAGTCACCTGTGCAGGTTCTCCTCGCTCCTGGGAGCTGCTCTTACATGACCCCCCATCCCTTCTGCCCACTCCCCGCTGTGACTCCAAGCCTCTGGCCGCTGTCCCCTGCCTGGCTCCCCTGTGAGCCCCCACCTGCCATGCTGGCACCCCCAATATGCTCCCCAAATCCTCATCAGAGGCCCCCTTCCTGAGAAAGGCCTTGGCTTACGTGCTTCCCTGTGCTGCTCTGCCGGCGAGTCTCCCACCCAGAGGAGGAGTCAAGTTTGGGGAGCCTGCAAATTGGGGCCACAAAGAAAAGAAAAATGGGGGTGGGGGTTCTATTTGTTTGTCAAAAAAAGCAGTAAATCGCCGTTGAGGGGAAATGAGAACTTTGATGGGTCCCCTGATGCTCATGGCTGCTGAGCGTGTCCGTGAGGGCCGCCACCATTCTCGCAGCAAGCGGGCTGCGGGGTGTGAGCCCAGCCTGGCCCGACCTTTGTTCCCTCGCTTGGCAGACAGAGCTGAGCCCCTCGAGGTGCCGGCTGCAGCCCCGCCCGCCGGTGAGAAGGTGCTGGGCCTCTGGGGCTCACCCTCTGCGCGGAGTGTCACCGTCCTGAAGCTCTGGATAACTTTTTAACACCGTCTCTGTTTTTCCCTCTGGCCGGGCCCGGCAGGTCTCCCGGCCCAGCTGCCCGGGGCAGGTGGCCCAGCCCGGGCCTGCCAGCGACACCTGCGCGGCCGCCACCTGCCACCCGCCGCCCACCCCACGGGCCGGACAGAGGCCGCCCGCCCGGGCCGCCGGCCTCCGCTCTGGCTCCTCCGCCTGCTCCTCGCCCGCTCCGCCTCTGGGCATCTGCTCCGTGGTTCTGGCTGCCAGGTCGGCCCTCCCGCTGCCCGGCTCGCCCGTCCCTGCCCAGCTGCGGGCTGAGTGCCAGGAGGGCCGCCGGGGGGGCCGGGCCACGCAGCGGCGCCTGCCGGGGTGGGGGCGCGGGGGTCGGGCGCGGGCCCCTGGCCTGGCGCGGCGCCCCGAGTCCCGTTGGCCCCGAGTCCCGCTTCCAGCCCGGCCCGGAGGCGTCGCTCCGCACTCGGCGGTGCCGCCCGGCCCGGTTCCAGGACGTTTCCGGGACATTCCCCGGCGACGAGGCCGAACCCGCGCGCCGGCCCCTCCTCCGCGCCTGGCACCCGCCGCCGCCCGCCCGTCCGCGGCTCCCCTTTCCGGGCGCGCCCCGCGGGCCCCGCTCCAGGAGCCGGCGGGTGCGGCCCCCCCAGCCCCCCGCACAGGCGCCCCCCGGTCCCCACAGCCCCGGCGCCCCCGGGCGGGAGCGGGGCCCTCGCGCCCAGCCCCCCCCGCTGGAGCGCCCCGGCCTCCTCCTGGGGCCCCGGGCGCCCCGACAGGGCCCGCCCCCCAGGCCCTCCCGCCGGGGGTCCGACGCCCGCGCCGCCCCCAGGGCCCGCGCCCCGCGCCCCGCGCCCGCCGCCGGGAACGAGGGGGGCTGGCGGGGACGCGCGGGGCGCCCGAAGCTCCCGAGGCCGCTGGGCCTCGGCCTGGGGAGGGCGCGGGGAGCCGGGCCGGGGGGCGGCGGGGCGGCGGGGCGCGGGGCTCGCCGCGGCCGGGACGCGCCTCTCCGGAAGGACGCGGCGGCCGGCCGGGCCCGGCGGGGGCGGGCGCGGGGGGGCGCGGGGGGGCGCGCGGGGGCGGGGGCGGGGGCTCTCGCCCTCCCCCGGGCTTCCGGCCCCCCCCCCCCCCGGCCCAGGCGCCTCCCCGGGCCGGGTGAGTCGGGGCCCCGCGCGCGGCGGCGGGCGGGGGGCGCGCGGGGGGCGCGGGGCGGCGGGGGTGGGGCGCTCGGAGCCGGAGCCGCCCCCGGGCCGCCCTCCCCACCCCGGGAAAGCGGCGGCCGCGGGCGGGGGGGGGGGCCTCGGCCCAGGGGGGGCCGGCGGGCCGCGGGAGACCGTCGGGCCAGCGGCGCCCAGACCCGGGGCTCCGAGCGCGCGCCCCTCCCGCGCGCCCCCCGGGCCTGCAGCGCCCGGCGCCTGAGTGGACTCGGGGCCGCGGCTCGGGGCCCCCAAGTGTTCACAGTGACGCAGTCCGCGGGGGTGGCCGCCGAGCCCCCCCCCCGCGCACCCCCGCGCGGGCCTGCGCCCCGGCTCCATCCAGGAGTTGCGCCCCTTCAGCTTTTCTTGAGTTGAAGTTCATTGCGGGTCACCAAGGGGCCTCTTGGGAGTGAGCGGAAAGTGCGTGCAGGACCCGGTCCCGTCACCTCCCGTCCAGCCCCCGCTGCAAGGACCGGTGAGGGAGCTGCTGGCGCTGCCCCGGCCTGTCTCTCCTGCCTCAGCCCTTATGTAGACCCAGAAAGGCTTAGTAGTGTGTTAGGGATCCCTTGCAAACAGCAGGGGGGTCGTTCTGGAATACCCCCCCCCAGTGTGTTTTGGGAATCTGTCAGTCTAGACCGTCCTTTTTAACGGCTGTATGGTATTCCACCGCCTGAACAAGCTGTTCCTGATGGCACGCATTCCCTGCTGTTTTACTTTCTTCATGGTTTTTCTCAAGTCGTTCACCCCAAATGTGTTCCTGGAGCACCTGCTCCGGGCCAGACCTCTCCTAGGGCAGGAAGCACCATCAGAGCAAAATAGATTCCCCCTGGGTGGCCCAGCAGCTACGAGCTGGGGAACAAGTAGTTGCAGGTGGGTGAGTCAGGGTATTGGATCTTCTGAGCAGAGGCTATGTTGAAATTCTATGGTTCAAGTATCAAAGCGATGTAAAAACGTTAGGAGAAAGTCTTTTAATTGATTTTTTATAATACTGCTATTTTTAAATTTATTTTGAGAAAAGTCTTACTCCCGCCTCTGCCCCATTTGACCTCCATTCTTACTAGTTCCTTCAGCTACCCCTGCAGCGCTTTCCTCAGAAAATACAAACAAAACCAACACGAATGCGCCTTTTCCTTCTTTCCTGTGTAAAGGGAAGCCTGGATACAGATCTCTGCTCTGTTTGTTTTCTTTAAAGCTGACGTGTGCATCTTGGGGTGATTCTCCTCGGCACAATCAAGAGCTTCCTTGTTTAACATTCCCCACAGAGGACACAGTTTCCCATCCTATGGCTTGTTTTACTGCAGTTTATTTGTTCCCCTCGACACCTGGGGTGTTTCTTGTCTTGGCTCTATAAACACTGTTGCGGTGAATAACTGCGTAAAGGTCACTTTCCAGCCTGCCAGTCTTCACATAGCGAGGGCTGTCGGACCGGTCGTTGCCAGGGGCCAAGGCCATGTGCAGACTGTGTGGCTGTGTTAACTGAAGGGCCTCTGCTAGGGAGGGCTCTTCAGAGAAACAAACAGCAGGTATCCCAGCTACCTAGTGGAGAGCTGGAGGTGTCCGTTCACTGGGGAGAGTCTTGAAAAACGCATTTTTAGACAATTGCACTATTGTGCAAATGAAACAGCAGTATGGTTTGTGCACTTAGGGGCCATGATGCGCAAAACAAGACAGACTAAATCAGGCATGGGGCTCCCATGGGGCAAGGGGTTAAGCGTCAGCACCGTGAAGCTGTCCGCAGCCTCCATCCCCTGCCCGGGAGCTACCCACATGGCGCTGCAGACCTCTCTTGTCCCCTGCTGCTCCCCTCAGCAGTGGATTTCAGTAGATCCGCCTGTTCTGTTCCCCGCTCTGTCTCTGGTGGATCCTCTCACCCCCCTGAGTTTCTATACCTCAGCTCTTGTATGCATAAATAAATAAGTAATAAATAAATAAAATCTTTTTATTATTTTTTTTTTAATATTATTTTTATTTATTTATTTATTTAAGCACTGGTACAGTCAAAGTGTGGGAGGGTGAGAGAATTCACCAGGGCCAGAGCGGGGAGCAGAGCAGGCAGAAGGACCGAAGTACACTGCTGAGGGGAGCAGCGGGCGGCAGGAGAGGTCTGCGCGCCATGTGGGACCCTCTGGTGCCGGGGAGCAGCCGGGGATTGAACTGGCGCTGCAGAGGCTGCGGGCAGCTTCGCAACCCAGCGCTCAACCGCTGCGTTTTTTTTTTTTATTTTTTTATTTTTTTTTTTAAAGAATAAATCAGGCATAGGGTGCTACCATGAGACATGGCAGAGAGCTGTGCCAGGCTGCAGGCTACGGTGGCTGGGATGCCACCGGGCAGCAGGGACTACAGAATGTTGTTGCGGCTCACGCTGTATACATATGTATCTTGTAACAGTGAAGTATAATGTAATGCAATATAAGGTAGACTGAGTATAAGATGTTGGCTCAGATAGTTACAGAGACAGAGATGGACAGGTCCCAAAGTTTGTAAGAGGCAAGTTGAAAACCTGGGACCTGCAGGGGGTACTTCCATTTCAAAGACCATCGGACTCGATCCCCCCAAATAGCCGATGTTTGTCTTTGACTCCCAGGCAGGAGAGCAACGGATGTCCCAGTGCCAAAGGAGTGGGGGCAGCAGGAGTTCCTCTTCTTCAAGGGAGGTCCGCCCTTTGTGTTTCCTGAGGCCTTCAACGGATTGGGTGAGGCCCACCTGCGTTAGGGAGGACAATCGGCTTTCTTAGTGTGTGGAGTCAGGTGTTCCCTCAGCTGGCAACTCCCTCACCCACACAGCTGGGTCAGTGTTTCACCACATACCTGCCCCTCCACGGCCCCGTGGACACCTGGAATTGGCCCGCATTCCCTCCATGGCCCCATTTGCTCTCGGCCCGTGTGAGGGTGTGCTGGCACAGGGTCTCACCAGAAGTGTGGGACAGAGTGTGGGTTTCCCCAGCCTGACAATGAAACATGACATCTTAGTGTGCTTTTAATGTGCGTGTCTGTCATTCTCTGTAAGGCTTTGCATAAATCCAAGGACTGCTGCGTCTCCTCTCCAGTGTGCTGCTCGGACACTTCGCCTTCTCAGTTGTGATCTTTTCATAGTTTACGTCAAAAGACACAGTTCTTTTTTTTTTTTTTTTCCTTAAAGATTCATTTCTTCATTACAAGAACCGAGGTACAGGCCAGAGATGCGGGGGGTGAGAGGATTCACCAGAGACAGAATGAGGAACAGAACAGGCAGACAGACCGAAAACACTGCTGAGGGGAGCAGCGGGGAGACAGGAGAGGTCTGCTGCGCCATGTGGGTTGCTCCCTGGCCGCCAGGTCGAACTGGTGCTGCAGAGGCTGTGGATTGCTTCATAGTGTGGTGTTTAACCCCTTGC